AGGGGGGAGAGAGAGAGAGCTGTGCTGCGGTTTCTGATGTTGGCCACATTTACATGGAGGGCAGCGGAGGTGTTTTGTCTCTGAGACTGGAGAGCCGGTCTTCTGTGTGAAGGGTTGGCGGTGAGCGGGAGAGGCGTTCATTTTGCATTTTTCAAAAGTTACCTTGCCGGGGGCCAGAGTTTCCACAACAGATACGGGGAGATGGAGGGGCGCAGGATACACCCGGACCTTTTGCATTAATTAGTTTGTTTCGCCGTGTGATCGCAGGACTTACGGCGCGAGTAATGAGATGTGCAGGCGCTTAAAGGCTCCTTGGAAAAACTCACACTGTGACGATCGTGGACCACAGAGTCTTTTATTATTGCTACTTCAACCTTAAACAAACACCTTTCCGATCTGCTCTGGATTAGTATAGGTTTCTCATGTGCATATTATATATAGTGTTTGTTTGCCTAAAATCTATACACCGCTTGATTCTAGGTGCCCTTTTAAATATAGGAGGGGAAATGATTGCTTTGCCGTTGTTCCTGTTCCTACTATGTATTTTGTGGTTTTGATATTGTAATTTTATGTAGCCATCTGCCCTAAGATCTGCAGACAAAGAGCAGTTTACCATTATTACTAATCATAATAATACAGTGGTACCTCGGTTCCCAAACGCCTCCGTTGTCGTACATTCCGGTTTCCGAGCACCAAAAACCCGGAAGCAAATGCTTCCGTTTTCGAACGTTTTTCAGAACTTGAACGTGCGGCGTGTCTTCCATTTGAGTGCAAGAAGCTCTTGCAACCAGCGGGAAGCTGCGCCTCGGTTTACAAACATTTCGGAAGCCGAACGGGCTCCCGGGACGGATGATGTTCGAGAACTGAGCTACCACCTGTAAGTGCTCTGGGCGGCTCCCAGCAGATTAAAAACAGAATAAAAGCTGCTGTCTAGAGCAGTGGAAAACAAGCTTGTTCCATCCTCCATTTGAAAGCCCTTCATATATCAGAAGATGGCTATTATATCACCTCTCAGCCCTCTCTTCTCCAGGCTAAACTTCTCCTTCAACCTTTCTTGTAGGGCTTGGTTTCCAGAACTTTTAACATCTTGGGTGCTGTCCTCTGTACACTTTTCATCTTGTCCATACCCTTCTTAATATGAGGTGTCCAGAACTGGATACAAGACTCCAGGTGGATTACAGCCCCCATTGGCCATGCTGGCTGTTGGCACTGCTGGGAATTGGGACCCCCCAACCACACCTGGGGTGGAGACAGACATCGCCCTTCTTTGATATGCCACATTTCTTGTGAAACTCCGTGTTTGAATCACTCAAGTAAAACAGAGTACAGTAGAACCTCGGTTTTTGAACGTAATCTGTTCCGGAAGACCGTTCGGCTTCCAAAACGTTCAAAAACTGAGGTGCAAAGCGCTGTCTGCAATTTAAATGGAGACAAAAACCTCAGCGGAAGCCGTTCGACTTCCAAGGCACATCCGAAAACAAAAACGGTTACCGTATTTTTTGCTCTATAAGACTCACTTTTCCCCTCCTAAAAAGTAAGGGGAAATGCGTGTGCGTCTTATGGAGCGAATGCAGGCTGCGCAGCTATCCCAGAAGCCAGAACAGCAAGAGGGATTGCTGCTTTCACTGCGTAGCGATCCCTCTTGCTGTTCTGGCTTCTGAGATTCATAATATTTTTTTCCTTGTTTTCCTCCTCCAAAAACTAGGTGCGTCTTGTGGTCTGGTGCGTCTTATAGAGGGGAAAATACGGCACTTCTGGGTTTTCGGTGTTGGAAAAGCGAAACGTTTGGCTTCCGAGACGCTCGAAAAACCGAGGTTCCATTGTATCTGAATACCGTGGCAGCAACAATTTGTAGTGAAATGTGCAGTGCCGTCACAACATTGCCAACAATCGATGGTTCTTCTAGAACAGGGGTGGGCAGAGCTATTGGCCCTGGGGGGCTGAGTATGGTGGTTGGGGGCACACGCACATGTGTGCCACGAGCTCACGGGCACCTCTCCCCCCCCCATCCCAAGAAATTAAAACCTGTGGAACTGGCCCTGAAATCAGCATAACCAACATATTGCGAACTGTTAGATGGGAGGGACGGTGTTTCTGGGACCTTGCAGAGCTGTCAAGGCCTGTCAAGGATGGAAGCCAGGTGCCCAGGGAATTTTAAGCCGCTAGTCCTCATGGTTGGAGACGGATGCTTGACATTTCCAAAGGCAGAACGGAGGAAGGGAGAAGGGTGGAGAGGCTGTTCCCGTCTCCCCGTGATTAGCAGAAAGCCAGACAACTTGTGCGAAAGCGGAGGAGAAGAAGTGGCGGGATAAATTATGCAAAGCAAGTGAAATCATGCAGATTTGCTTCGTTCTCATTAAATAAATTAATTTAATCAAAGTAATTGCGCCCATTTGCTTAATAGCTTTCAGATGAGCCCCGTCGCCTTAGCAGAGCATGCCAAGAGTCCCCCCGGATCAGGCCAGGATCCCACCTAGGCCCACTTCCGAATTCTCCGCGGAGCCCCTCATCAGATGCCCCCAGGAAGCCAAGAAGGGCTTTTTGTGTCTATTTGTGATAGACTGCTTCTGTACGAGGAGGTTCCATTTAACTCTCCTGAGTTAACTCGCCTTGATTCCCAAACGCCAAAAACCCGGAAGTGGATGTTCCGGTTTTCGAACGTTTTTCGGAAGCCGAGCGTCCAATGCGGCTGTCGGCTATTGTTCCGGGGCTCCTGCACCAATTAGAAACTGTACCTTGCTTTCCGAACATTTCAGAAGTCAAACAGACTTCCGGAATGGATTAAGTCTGCCGCTTTTGTTTTTGCTAATTATTTTGCGTTTTTTGTTTTTGAGGCTTTTTCGGTTCATTTGCTTTTGTGACTGTGTGGAACCCGGTTCAGCTACTGATTGATGGATTGTGTGACTGTGGAAATGGATAAAAGCCCCCTATCCAAACAATGATTATCATCAGTGCACATATGAAAAATATTTCGTTTTAATTTTTATCATCTACAATACTTTCTTTATTTATTTTATAGTACAGCACATTGGTTATTGCTTTCATTTTACGGATAAACGGTCTCGTTAGATAGTAAAATTCATGTTGAATTGCTGTTTTAGGGGTTGTTTTTAAAAGTCTGGAACAGATTAATCCGTTTTGCATTGCTTTCTATGGGAAAGCGAGCCTTGGTTTCGGAACGGACTTCCAGAACGGATTAAGTTTGAGAACCAAGGTGCCACTGTATATCATTTCCCAGAAAGCCTTTATTACCTTCCATGACTGCCACACATGATAAAAGGTACCTTTCAGAAAGGGGTCTTTTATTTGGGCTCATAGCAGATACAGCATCGTCCCCAAGTCTTGGGATTCAGCGGTGCAGGAGCTTTGAGAGCAGGGCCAGGACTTCGGGACTGGAGAGGAGCAAGGAAGATGCCCCAACGAGTTTCTTCCACCCTGCCCGCCAAGACGTGGGAATGTTGGGGTTGCAAATGCCGGCCTCATCGGAGGCAGGCGGGACTAGAGGGCCTGCCGGCCTGATCCAACAGCCTCTTCACATGCTCCGGACATTTCTGAATGCCAGCAGCTGGAACCCACAAGAGGGGAGAGCTTCTCTCGCACTCAGGTCTTCCTCGTCACCTTCCCATTAGAGCAGCCTTTCTCAACCTGTGGGTCCCCAGATGTTGTTGGACTACAACTCCCATCATTCCCAGCTAGCAAGGCCAGAGCTCAGGGGTGATGGGAGTTGTAGTTATGGTGCTGGAGGAGACTCTTGAGAGTCCCATGGACTGCAAGAAGATCAAACCTCTCCATTTGGAAGGAAATCAGCCCTGAGTGCTCACTGGAAGGACAGATCCTGAAGCTGAGGCTCCAAGACTTTGGCCACCTCATGAGAAGAGAAGACTCCCTGGGAAAGACCCTGATGCTGGGAAAGATGGAGGGCACAAGGAGAAGGGGACGACAGAGGACGAGATGGTGGGACAGTGTTCTCGAAGCTACCAACATGAGTTTGACCAAACTGCGGGAGGCAGTGGAAGACAGGAGGGCCTGGCGTGCTCTGGTCCAGGGGGTCACGAAGAGGCGGACACGATTAAACAACAACAACATCTGGGGACCCACAGGTTGAGAACCGCTGCATTAGATCATCTTGCTCTCCGCTGCGAGAGCAGGAAACTGGTCCAGATTCGCTGTTCTGAGGTTCTGGCCCCTGGCCTGATCCAGCTGTTCTGAGGTTCTTTGCTTGCAATTGCAAAGAGGAGTGGGTGGTCCTGGGGGGCTTGGAAGAAGAAGAAGAAGAAGAAGAAGAAGAAGAAGAAGAAGAAGAAGAAGAAGAAGAGTTTGGATTTGATATCCTGCTTTATCACTACCCTAAGGAGTCTCAAAGCGGCTAACAATCTCCTTTCCCTTCCTCCCCCACAACACACACTCTGTGAGGTGAATGGGGCTGAGAGACTTCAAAGAAGTGTGACTGGCCCAAGGTCACCCAGCAGCTGCATGTGGAGGAGCGGAGACGCGAACCCAGTTCACCAGATTACGAGTCCACCGCTCTTAACCACTACACCACACTGGCTCTCTCTTGTTAGTGGGTCTGGGTGTGGGCCCTGGGCAGACGCTCGCCTGTGCCGACCTGCACCGGAAGGGATTGTTCTCTTGGCCCATGTGTTCCATACACAGAGAGAGAGAGAGAGAGAGAGAGAGAGAGAGAGAGAGAGAGAAGCTATGAAATGTAGGTTGCCGCAGCGGAGAGGCGGTCCTCTCTGACGAAGCCCCTCAGAGCTCGGAGACCTTTCAAGAGCTCCTGATGAGTGGGACCCTAATGGCGAGGCTTGTGGTTGAAGGAGACCTAGCCGGGCCCGTTCCCCCCGGAGAGAGATAAACGCCATAGAGTGCTCTCCGGCAGCCTTGAGTAATGATATCATTAGCAGGTGGAAGCTGGGAGAGTGTTGAGCTGGAGAGGATGGAGAGAGAGAGGAGAGGCGGAATAGCTAGAGAAAACCAGAAAGGCTCACTCTCAACTCATAATGCAGATTCCGGGGCTTGAGGCCGGGCTCGGCAGCTTTCCCGGTGGAACTTCAGCCTGCTTCACACGCAGGCTGGGATTTTGGGTGGGTTGGGATAATAGCGCTCGCCCTAATGGGAAACCAGCGAGCTTCCTTGGTTTGCAGAATCATCGAATTGTTGAGTTGGAAGGCAACCTGAGGATTGGTCCAGTATATTTGAAGGAGCATCTCCACCTCCATTGTTCTGCCCGGACACTGAGGTCCAGCGCTGAGGGCCTTCTGGCGGTTCCCTCCCTGCGAGAAGCCAGGTTACAGGGAACCAGGCAGAGGGCCTTCTCGGTGGTGGCACCCGCCCTGTGGAACGCCCTCCCACCAGATGTCAAGGAGATAAACAACTACCAGACTTTTAGAAGACACCTGAAGGCAGCCCTGTTTAGGGAAGCTTTAAATGTTTGACGGACTATTGTATTTTAATACAGTGGTACCTCGGGTTAAGAACTTAATTCGTTCCGGAGGTCAGTTCTTAACCTGAAACTGTTCTTAACCCGAAGCACCACTTTAGCTAATGTGGCCTCCCGCTGCCGCCACGCGATTTCTGTTCTCATCCTGAAGCAAAGTTCTTAACCCGAGGTACTATTTCTGGGTTAGCGGAGTCTGTAACCTGAAGCATCTGTAACCTGAAGTGTCTGTAACCCAAGGTACCACTGTATTCCATTGGAAGCTGCCCAGAGTGGCTGGGGAAACCCAGCCAGATGGGTGGGGTATAAATAATAAATTCTTCTTCTTCTTCTTCTTCTTCTTCTTCTTCTTCTTCTTCTTCTTCTTCTTCCTCTTCCTCTTCCTCTTCCTCTTCTTCCTCTTCTTCTTCCTTCCCCAAGAGTCACCGGCTTCGCAGAACCAAGAGCCGTCCTTTCCTCTCGCGGCCTCTTCTGCCCGCCCGCCTGCTCACTCCTGCACCCGCCACGGTTTGCATTACGCACCCAGCGGTGCGCTCTCTCGTCTTGTAGGTGGGCCACAGATCTGGGGGGAAAGCGGCCCCGCCCTCCCATGCTCAATTGCCACTTCTCGACTCAGTGGGAAGCTGCTGACTGCGGCCGTCTCCATTTAAATGGAGATGTGGTCACGTCTTCCGCTGGGCAACGAAACGCCTCATGGAGAGTTATAGATCTGTTTGGATGTATGTATGCATTGCGAAAGGTAATGCGTTTCCGCTTCTGGATGCTGGAAGGCAGGGGGGGTGGAGGGTCAGAGAACCCCTGGGGGGCACAGAGTCTTTCCCCTCTCCATTGGCACACAGGAATGAGAAACTTTCAGAGGCGGAAGGTATGCAAACCTTGGAACCCCACGGGATTCCTTTTTTCCAAGGCTGTGAGCCCCTCTTCATTTTCATGTATAAATTTTTTTTATTGAGTTTTACACTGCATGTTCAAATTCAAACATTAAACATCACCATCAGCATTTAAAGTTAAAGGGACCCCTGATCATTAGGTCCAGTCGTGGCCGACTCTGGGGTTGCGGCGCTCATCCCGCTTTACTGGCCGAGGGAGCCGGCGTACAGCTTCCGGGTCATGGGGCCAGCAGGACTAAGCCGCTTCTGGCGAACCAGAAACACCGTTTACCTTCCCGCCGGAGTGGTACCTATTTATCTACTTGTGCTGGTGTGCTTTCGAACTGCTAGGTTGGCAGGAGCAGGGACCGAGCAACGGGAGCTCACCCCGTCATCGCGGGGATTCGAACCGCCGACCTTCTGATCGGCAATCCTAGGCTCTGCGGTTTAACCCACAGCGCCACCCACGTCCCACACCATCAGCATTTAGGAGTCTCTGAATCCTTAGACTCCCCTACACCTTTCCATGGTTCTGTTGAATGGACTGAACCATCCAGGGGCCTTTACCTTTTACCTGGAGAGCGGGGCACCTTTCTCTGGGCGAGGGCCACAGTCTCAAATGGGCAGCTTTCTGGGGGCTGGAGGCAAATGGGGACATGGCAACGGGTGTGGTTGTTTCTCCTGCGCAGTTAAAAGCCAGAGGTTTTTCTCTCACACAAATGCATCATCCGACATCTCTCTATACCTCACACAGGTGAGCAAGAGGCCAGTCTCATCATCCCAGGTGAGCAAATCATACTCAGGAAGGCTATGAATTGGGGCCGCTGAGGGGCACGGGGATAGGGTGTCAGAGTTTGGCCTATACGTTGGAGAAATAGTCTTTTTTTTTTTTACAATCTTTTTTATTCAGTTTTACACTACACACTTAAATTCCAAACATTAAACACCACCATCTGCATTTAGGTTTCCCTGAATCCTTAGACTCCCCTCCAGCCTTCCGTGGCTTCTATTTTCAATCTTTTTCAACTGCTTCACATATTTTCTCTATTTTTCTCAAATAATCCATTTTTTACCTTCATTTTTAATACATTGCATGTGTTTCTCAAACCCTGCCAAAGTTTTTAGTTGTTCACAGTGTTCTCTTAGGTACATTGCGAATTTTCCCCGTTCCTTATTAAAATCCCTCTCTTCCCGGTCATTTTGGCCATTTCAGCAAAATCCATCATCTTCATCAGCCTCTTGTCTCTGGTCAGGACTTTATCTTCTTTCCATTTGTGGGCCAAGGTGGTTTGGGCTAGACCTCAAAGTCCACCTTATTTTTTGTGTGGGTGACGCTATGGCCTAAACTACTGAGCCTCTTGGGCTTCCTGATAAGAAGGTCGCCGGTTCAAAGCCCCGCGATGGAGTGAGCTCCCATTGCTCTGTCCCAGCTCCTGCCAACCTAGCAGTTTGAAAGCACGCTGGTGCAAGTAGATAAATAGGTACCACTGTGGCGGGAAGGTAAATGGCATTTCCGTGCACTCTGGTTTCCGTCATGCGCCAAAAGCGGTTCAGTCCTGCTGGCCACATGACCCGGAAAGCTGTCTGCAGACAAATGCCGGCTCTCTCATCCTGAAAGCGAGATGAGCGCTGCAACCCCATAGTCGCCTTTGACAGGACTTAACCATCCAGGGGTCCTTTACCTTTAGCTTTTTTACCTTATTTTTTGTTTCTTTCCCCCCCTTAAATCCTCTCCCTGCCTCCTCCTTTCTTCCTCTTTTTTCCTGCCACCCCCTTCACTCCTCCTCTTCTTGCCATCTCCCCTCTCTGCCTTTTCCACCCCCCGCTTTGCCCCCTCTCTTCCAGCCACCCTTTCTCTCTTAAGTCCCCCTCGTCTCCTTCCCACCCACCTGAAATTAAGCCAAGCGCCATACTTGGGGGCCCCCTAGGGATACAGACCCCCCACCCCTCGATCTATGGGAACAGAGTCTATTGGAGGGTGCAAAGGAGGATAATATGGGGTTCATCCAGGCAACGCCTTTTTCAGGGACGACAGTCCTCAGGACGCAGTGGGTGGGAAGAAGCTGGGGGGGGCATTAGACAAGATCGGCCAAAGAAGGGGGGGGGAGAAACGGCAGTCTCAGAAAGCAATTAGTTATGGTGTCTTAAGGAGCCCGGTGCTCCCCCTTTCGAATCTGAGATACCATCGCCTGATTTCCCTGCTTTGACTAAGCCCCTAATCTCCCAGATAATCTGTCTCAAAAAATGCAAAATACATATATATATATAAGAGAGAAAGAGCGCTAGCTGGAGTTGGCCTGTGAATACAACACCTGAAGGGGCGCCGAAAACGATTCTCCCCCCGCACACTACTTTACTAATCACCTACTGTTGCCACTTTATTAATTTTAAGAGGTGCTCTGTTTAATCTTGTAAAAAGGTAATGGGAAGAGGTAAGATTAGGCCGACCACGTGGACGTTTCGGGCACTCAGGGCTTCTCCGCAAGAGGCAGAGCTGTTTCATAGATATTGTGTGGAATCTTCGATCTGGAAGGGCCCTCCAAGGATCATCTAGTCCAACCCAAGAATTCGCAGCTGCCAAACCTGCAAACTTGGCATTGCCTTCACCGTGCTCTAATCGACAGAGCTGTCCGGCTGTCGGCAGTAGGAATTGACAGAAGGCCGGTGGCTCTGGGGTGCTTGAGCCTCAGGGCACCAGCAGCTGTGAATTTCTCTGCCACGGCGACGTTTCAAATATGGATTTCCCGGCTCTTAAGTGGAAATGGACGCGGGTGGCGCTGTGGGTTAAACCACAGAGCCTAGGGCTTGCCAATCAGAAGGTCGGCGGTTTGAATCCCTGCGACGGGGTGAGCTCCCGTTGCTCAGTCCCTGCTCCTGCCAACCTAGCAGTTCGAAAGCACGTCAACGTGCAAGTAGATAAATAGGTACCGCTCTGGCGGGAAGGTCAACGGCGTTTCCGTGTGCTGCTCTGGTTCGCCAGAAGCGGCTTAGTCCTGCTGGCCACATGACCCGGAAGCTGTACGCCAGCTCCCTCGGCCAGTAAAGCGAGATGAGCGCCGCAACCCCAGAATCGGTCACAACTGGACCTAACGGACAGGGGTCCCTTTACCTTTAAGTGGAAATGGCACACTGAGAAATATTTCGTTAAACAAATTCTGAATGCTGTACTGCACGCATCATGGTGGTTCGCAGTGACAGGGCAGCTGCCTTGAGTGCAGAAGGCACCAAGTTCAGTCCCCAGCAGCACTGGACTTCGGCTTCCGAAAAACATTCGCAAACTGGAATGCTTACTTCCGGTTTTGCGGCGTTCGGGAGCAAAGCCGTTCGAGTATCAAGGTTCCACTCAGGGCTGGGTTTTGGTTCGAGGAGCCCCTAAGCTACTGAAGGTAATGGGGCCCTTTTTGTGTCCAGCTGTCCTTTGCCAACAACAAATGGTCACCGTTTTTTGTGTTAAATATATGCTACATGGTATTTTATGGACCTCATAGGTCTCTCAAGCCATTTGCACATGTTGCCCTGCAACCAGTCCATGCAGAATGTAGGCACCCTATATATTTGTTGTTGTTGTTGTTTAGTCATTTCGTCGTGTCCGCCTCTTTGTGACCCCCTGGACCAGAGCACGCCAGGCCCTCCTGTCTTCCACTGCCAGTTTGGTCAAACTCATGCTGGTAGCTTCGAGAACACTGTCCCACCATCTCGTCCTCTGCCGTCCCCTTCTCCTTGTGCCCTCCATATTTCCCAACATCAGGGTTTTTTCCAGGGAGTCTTCTCTTCTCATGAGGTGGCCAAAGGCTTGGAGCCTCAGCTTCAGGATCTGTCCTTCCAGTGAGCACTCAGGGCTGATTTCCTTAAGAATGGAGAGGTTTGATCTTCTTGCAGTCCATGGGACTCTCAAGAGTCTCCTCCAGCACCAGAATTCAAAAGCATCCATTCTTCAGTGATCAGCCTTCTTGATGGTCCAGCTCTCACTTCCATACATCACTACTGGGAAAACCATAGCTTTAACTATACGGACCTTTGTTGGCAAGGTGATGTCTCTGCTTTTTAAGATAGAAAGGAGCAAACCAGTGATATTTTAGGGAGCAGGCGAGCAGGCGGGGCCCATGACTTACATCCTAGGAGCCTACACAACACAAAACACTGTTGCTGTGTGTAGGTATTATTTCATTTGTTTTTTATCTTATGTTTTGGAAATGTACATCCAGTTGTTTTTTCCCTTTAATTTTTTTGGGGCCCCCAAGAGAGTGGGGCCCTAAGCTCTAGCTTGTTTAGCTTATACATAAATCCAGCACCGGTACCACTGTACTGAATTCAGATGCAGACTGAGGACCACAAAAGACTTTATTGCCTCTTTCCTCCCAAGGGGAGGGGAAGTGACACAAAGCTAAGCCTGGCAGGGCAGCTTAAGGTAAAGGTAAAGGGACCCCTGACCATTAGGTCCAGTCGTGGCCGACTCTGGGGTTGCGGCGCTCATCTCGCTTTACTGGCCGAGGGAGCCGGCGTACAGCTTCCGGGTCATGTGGCCAGCAGGACTAAGCCGCTTCTGGCGAACCAGAGCAGTGCACGGAAATGCCGTTTGCCTTCCCACCGGAGCGGTACCTATTGATCTACTTGCACTTTGACATGCTTTTGAACTGCTAGGTTGGCAGGAGCAGGGACCGAGCAACGGGAGCTCACTCTGTCACGGGGATTCGAACCGCCGACCTTCTGATCGGCAAGTCCTAGGCTCTGTGGTTTAACCCACAGCACCACCCGTGTCCGGCAGGACAGCTTACTCTATGGCATTAACCCTTTCATGCATTGATTGGACTCAAGCAGGTTATATGACCCTGGTGACGTTCTGAGTCCCTTAACCTCTGCTTTTCCCTCCCCCTGCAGGTTCCACCAGGGTGACTACACCGTGGAGGTGAGCATCAACGACTACCTGGACATCTACTGCCCTCACTACGAGCTCCCGTTCCCCATGGACCACATGGAGAGATACATCCTCTACATGGTCAACTATGAGGGCCACGACTCCTGCGACCACCGCCAGAATGGCTTCAAGCGCTGGGAGTGCAACCGGCCCGACTCGCCCAACGGGCCGCTGAAGTTCTCCGAGAAATTCCAGCTCTTCACCCCGTTTTCGCTGGGCTTTGAATTCCGACCGGGGCATGAGTATTACTACATATGTAAGTACTGGGGACATGGGTGGTGCTGCGGGCTAAACCACTGAGACTAGTTGGGCCTCCCCTTTGGCCTGATCCTCTGTGACATCAGAGCAGCTAAGCCAATAGCAGCCGGAGAGGCTGTGTGTCTCTTTGCGTGTGTTGTGATTTCCCTCACCCTGAGAGGTCTTTCAGGACCGGTAGGTCTTTCAGGAAAAGGGACGCGGGTGGTGCTGTGGGTTAAACCACAGAGCCTAGGACTTGCTGATCAGAAGGTCGGCGGTTCGAATCACCACCGGGTGAGCTCCCGTTGCTCGGTCCCTGCTCCTGCCAACCTAGCAGTTCGAAAGCACCTCAAAGTGCAAGTAGATCAATAGGTACCGCTCCGGCGGGAAGGTAAACGGAGTTTCCGTGCGCTGCTCTGGTTTGCCAGAAGCGGCTTAGTCCTGCTGGCCACATGACCCGGAAGCTCCCTCGGCCAGTAAAGCAAGATGAGTGCCGCAACCCCAGAGTCGGTCACGACTGGACCTAATGGTCAGGGGCCCCTTTACCTAGGTCGTTCAGGACTGGTGTTATATGGTCTTGGCGGCTGCTCCCAGTCACTAGTCTGGCAGCCGCATTCTGGATTAGTTGTAGTTTCCAGGTCACCTTCAAAGGTAGCCCCACATAAAGCGCATGGTAGTAGTCCAAGCGGGAGATAACCAGAGCATGCACCACTCTGCCCAGACTGTGGGCAAGGAGGGTTTCAGTCTGTGTACCAGATGTAGCTAGTAGACAGCTGCCCTGGGCACAGAACTGACCTGCGCCTCCATGGACAGCTGTGAATGCTTCTGAATGTCATTTGCTACAAACCACAGGGGGAGAGAGTTGTTGTGGGGCTCAGAACATGCTTGTGAGCTCCCCTTGGGGGAATCTTGTTGGCCACCCAAGCTGGACGGGCCCGATCCACCAGGCCTCTCTCCTTACATTCCCCGAGCTCTTCCTGCGTTTCGAAAAGACAGCAAAATCGGAAGCGACGACGTAGCCAATTTAAGCGTCCTGATTGCACCGTCGATCCTAAACCAAAGCAATCTCAGGGACCGGTTTAATTAGCTGGCGTGACTCTATTTAACCTCCGGCGGCGGCTCGGGAGCGCCGAACACCCAAAGACCCAGCTGGCGGGGCCACATTCCACAGATAATAATGAAAATAAACCGATATGAGAGAGAGAGAGAAAGGCCCTTTGCAACTCATCCGTTTCCCCCCTTGCAATCACGCCCATCGTGGCAGCTGGGGGAGGGAAGGGTGGCGGGACAGCGGCGCTAAAAATGATTCTGTTCCCAGACCATGTTTCAGCTTGTAAATGATTTGAACTCAGCCCTCCCGCCGGGACCTGTGGCCCGGCTCGGCTACCAGGGAGGAAAAATAATCAAACGTTCGAAATTAGCTTCCCGGACCACCCATTAAGAAAGCCCCTGATTTAAGAGTCTTCATTTATCTTCATTTTCTTTTCTTTTCTTTTTTTGGGAAAGAAGGAAAGGGAGCAGTGGCGAGAGAGGGAGGATCCTGGCTTTGAGCCTGCCTGAAAATGGCAAGGGCAAGAAACCTGGCCGTGAAAAGGCTCCTGGTGACTCGCTGTACCTGGGGAGTTTGGGACACGGTTGGCACTGTGGTCTAAACCACCGAGCCTCTTGGGCTTGTGTGTGATGGCCTGGGATTCGGTGTGCTGGTCCCGTGGGTTTCCGTGAGGCATGGTCTGAGTCCACAGTATTTAGGGTACAGTATTGAGGCCGTCCGTCAAAGCTGAAGCTGGGTCCAAGGCAGGGAGTCGGGCAAGGTCAGGAGATCCGGCAGACCAGGGTGCCGGCAGGAACAGGCTACCAACAACGTTGCTCCCGCAACCTGGGACTGGGGCTGGCTGGCTTTTATCTGCCCTGAGGCATTTTATCTGCCCCAATCCTCAGGTGACTCGCCTCTCCTGGCCCCTCCTGCGGGAACTTAGTTCCCTCCGCCTCTCTGCCCTGAGCCTCTGCAGCTCAGGAGAGGCTGGGGGATTCCTGGACCCAGAGGCAACCTCAGCTTCCTCTGCCGGGGCTGAGAGTGGAGCACCTGCAGGCAATGGGTCCTCCATCACCTCAGGAACCAGAGCAGACTCACCTGAGGACCCAGCACAGGTGAGGACCCTTCAGGCTCAAGCCCCAGCCCCGGCTCAGCTGGTTCTGGAGGCAGGGAGTCCTGTACAGGCTGGGATTCCTCAGGTTCAGCCTCAGAGTCCGAATCCCAGGCCATCACACTCGGGCTCAGACTCGGAACCGGACGAGTCTCGGTCCGCACCAGATCCTCTGCCTCAGGCAGCATTTGAACAGAGTCTGGGGCCTGATTCTGAAGAGCCCCAGTCTGCACAGGTTCCCCTGCAACAAACACCAGCTGGGCCGAGTCAGGGGCCTGATCCTGCCCTGGCTCCAGATGCAGGGATGACCTCGTTGCCTCCAGCTGGGCCATCACTTACAGCTGCTCCACTACCGGTTGGGTCAGGGGAGGCTGAGGCGGCCCCTGGGTCTAGTAACCCACCGACGTCTCCCGAGCTGCAGAGACTCAGGTCTGAGATAAGGAGAGACCTGAGTACTCGCAGGAGGAGTGCTCGCCTTCGGGCGAAACAGGGAGGTGAGTCACTGGGGGATCAGGACCGGCCGTTACCCCGTCAAAGATAAAAGGCTGCCGGACCCCGCCCCAGGTTGCGGGAGCAACATTGCTGCTTGCTGGAACCCTGTGCTTGACCTAGTCTGGTTTCCTTCGTTGGCCCTGTTGGACTGACTCCTTGTGGAATCCTTGGATTCGGGACCGGACCTGGACCGCGTTGCTTGGGTTAACCCCCAGGCCCAGCACATTGTGGATCGGAAGGTCGGCGGTTCGAATCCCTGCAACGGGGCGAGCTGGGGGGCCTGTGGTTTCTCCTGCTTGCACTGCTGTGACATCAGAGCAGCTAAGCCAATAGGAGCCAAGGAAGCCATCTTTTTTCCCCCTCCCGACAGAGGCCTGCTTGACATCACAGCTGCTAAGCTAGTAACAGTCAGAGAGGATGTAACAGCGCTTAACGCAGGCCTACTGTGGCGTCAGCTAAGCCAATAAAGGCTTGAGGGGTTGTGATTTTCCCTTGCCGGTAGCCTGCTGTGACATCAGAGCAGCTAAGCCAATAACGGTTAAGAGAGGTGAAGACGAGGGCAACCAAAACCATCAAGGGATTTTCAGTTCAGGGAAGTGGCAAGGGAAGGCAGCGGTGGAGGAAGCCATAGTTGGCAGCTATGCTGGGGGGGAGGCAGCGGGCAGACAGCATGGGGCCTGTGGGCGCCCGAGACGCGTAGCTTGGGTGTGCTGAAGGCCCCGCAGTGAGTGCTGCCCGCCATTTTGTCACCCCCTTAGTGGGGACACCCGGGGCAGACCGCACCTACCGCACACCCCCTTGCTACGCCCCTGAGTGAAGGTCCAGGGGAAATGATATGAAATTATTCCTGGCATGGAAGAAGCAGAACGCGAGAACTCGTGGGTGCCCAATAATAATAATAATAATAATTTATAATTTATTATTCTGATCCTGATCTGATTTGAGGATGTGTTTTAACTGATTGTCTGATTTTATGTTAATGTGTTATACATTTGATGTTAACCGCTCTGAGCCCGGCTTCGGCTGGGGAGGGCGGGATATAAATAAAAAATTTTTTAATTATTATTATTATTATACCCTGCCCGGCCACTCTGGGCGGTTTCCCCAGCCACTCTGGGCTGCTTCCACAAAAACCAAAAATACACTAAGATGTCACACATTAAAAGCTTCCCTGAACAGGGCTGCCTTAAGATGTCTTCTGAATGTCAGGTAGTTGTTAACTCTTTGACATCTGGTGGGAGGGCGTTCCACAGGGCGCCACTACCGAGAAGGCCCTCTGCCTCGTTCCCTGTAGCTTTGCTTCTCGCAATGAGGGAACCGCCAGAAGGCCCTCAGAGCTGGACCTCAGCGTCCGGGCAGAACGATGGGGGTGGAGACGCTCCTTCAGGTATACTGGGCCGAGGCCGTTTATTGGAACATTGGAACTAAGCCGAACATTGGAAGATTCAAGGCAGAAAGAAGGAAGTCCTTCTTCACGCAGCTCAGATTTCAACTGCGGAACTCCCTGCCACAAGAGGCAGGCATGGCCACCCACTTGGACGGCTTTAAAAGCAGGTTGGGCAAGGCTTTCAACGGCCGCTGGGTCACGACGCTGGACTAGTTGGGCCTCCCCTTTGGCAGGGCTCTCGCGTGACACAGGCCTTCTGTGACATCAGAGCAGCTAAGCCAATAGCAGCCGGAGAGGCGGTGTGTCTCTTTGCGTGTGTTGCGATTTCCCTCACCTCGAGAGGTCCATGCAGATCTCCGTCTTGCAACCGCAAGGCTGGAACCGGGCCCCCGGCAAGGAAAGAGATCGGGCCCCTTTACGCTGTCAGTTTCAAGGTCAGCGCCGCGGAATGGGGAAACTTAACATCACACGCTCCCAAGCCATCTCTTGAACCAGAAAGTTGGTCGCGTTTCCCCCCTCGCTGCAATCAATAAAGAAATGTTAAAATAATAATAACATTATTAATTAAAATCCACGACCCCAAAGCACTTCACGATAGCAAGCCCTCTCTCTCTCCCTCGGTCCGGAAGCGGACAGGCAGAATTTATCTTTCTCAATATTTTCTTCCTCTCCTACTCTAAAGCATCTGTTTTTCAACTTCCTTAATTTGCTCCTTTTATCTATATTAAATTACCATTTTCTCTCGTCGCACGCGGCCCACTCCCCCCTTCTCCCTGTGTAAAATGTCACTTGGAAAATAACTACATTTACTACGACACGCTCTCTCTCTCTCTCTCTCTCTCTCTGTCCCTCACACTCTCTCTTTTTAATGTCGTTAGGGAAAGATTACACAGGAGTAAATAGTGAAACTCATCACGGCGAAAGCCGGTTAGAATTCATGTCATGTGGAACATTACAAATTATGTTTCTTTGAGGGCACTGTATTTAGCAGACATGAAAGAACGAACACTACCTCCTTCTGCAGCTTGCAAATTGGAATTCTATTAACCTTCCAGGAATCTAGATGAGCGTCCTGGCTATGCTCAACAGTACTAGGTCAAGGTTAAACAACACTTTTGGGGGACCACAAAAGGGTCGCTTTTTGGCTTTTGAGATGTTCACTGCAGAGGGGCTAGAGGAGGGGGTTAAAGAGAGAGACCTACCCAGAACTGGAGGACCGGGGTGGGTGATGGACAGTGCCGGATTTAAGTAAAGGTAAAGGGACCCCTGACCATTAGATCCAGTCGTGGCCAACTCTGGGGTTGCAGCGCTCATCTTGCTTTATTGGCCGAGGGAGCCGGCGTACAGCTTCCGGGTCATGTGGCCAGCAGGACTAAGCCGCTTCTGGCGAACCAGAGCAGCGCACGGAAACGCCGTTTGCCTTCCCGCTGGAGTGGTACCTATTTATCTACTTGCACTTTGACGTGCTTTCGAACTGCTAGGTTGGCAGGAGCAGGGACCAAGCAACGGGAGCTCACCCCGTGGCGGGGATTCGAACCGCCGACCTTCTGATCAGCAAGTCCTAGGCTCTGTGGTTTAACCCACAGCGCCACCCGCGTCCCATGTGCTAGATTTACGTATAAACTAAACAAGCTATAGTTTAGGGCCCCACTCTCTTGGGGGCCCCCCAAAAAAATTAAAGGGAGAAAAAAACCATGGATGTACATTTCCAAAATATAAGATAAAAACAAATAAAATAAAACGTACATGCAGCAACAGTGTTTTGTGTTGTGTCGGCTCCTATTATAGAAGTCATGGGCCCCACCTGCTAGCCTGCTCCCTAAAATATCCCTGGTTTGCTCCTTTCTATATATAGGGTGCCTACATTCTTCATGGACTGGTTGCATGGCAACATGTGCAAATGACTTTAGATACCTATTAGGTCCATAAATGACCCTATAGCTGTTGTCTAAAACTACTGAGCTTGCCGATCGGAAGGTTGGCAGTTCAAATCCCCGCGACGGGGTGAACTCCCGTTGCTCGGTCCTTGCTCCTGCCCACCTAGCAGTTCGAAAGCACGTCAAAGTGCAAGTAGATAGTCTTCCCTCCGGCGGGAAGGTAAACGGCGTTTCCGTGCGCTGCTCTGGTTCGCCAGAAGCGGCTTAGTCCTGCTGGCCACATGACCCGGAAGCTGTACGCCGGCTCCCTCGGCCAGTAAAGCGAGATGAGCGCCGTAACCCCAGAGTCGGCCATGACTGGACCTAATGGTCAGGGGTCCCTTTACCCTTTACCTCTAATAATATTATTAATTATCAACCTTGCCTTTTGCTTAGAATAGATAGCCTCTATGCCTCTTACAAATGTCATTCCAAAGTTCGTCTGCTCTAGGGCCTTCAACATAAAGGCCCATGAAACATTGTCAAAAGCTTTTTCCGCATCAATAAACATCAATGCTGTTTATTATATTTCTAGTATTTTCTTTCATTTGTCGACCTGGGAGAGATCCTGTTTGATCTTGATGGATTATTTCCAATAGTAGACCTTTCATTCGCCTTGCTAAAATATTTTCAAATACTTTATAATCACAATTTAATAATGAAATTGGTCTGTGATTTTTCGCTTCCAATTTATCTACCTCTTCCTTTGGAATTAAAGTAATGTATGCCTCTTCCCAGGTCTTTGGTATTTTCCCAAGGGCACAACTCAGCAAGGCAAAAACTCTCAGGGAGAGTGCAAAGTAGGACCAGTAAGGGCCGTGGCCTCAGGATAAGAGCCGTGGTCTAGGGAGAAGGGTGTTGCTTGTACAGGTTTATTATATTTTGTATGCCACCTTTCCCCAAAAAAACTTTTAAAGCACTGTAAGTGGTTCTCCTCCCCCATTTTGGCCTAACAACAACCCTGCGAACCTATCTTGCAGGGTTAGGTAAGTAAAGCTCTGGTTTTCCCAGTAGTGATGTATGGAAGTGAGAGCTGGACCATAAAGAAGGCTGATCACCGAAGAATGGATGCTTTTGAATTCTGGTGCTGGAGGAGACTCTTGAGAGTCCCATGGACTGCAAGATCAAACCTCTCCATTTGGAAGGAAATCAGCCCTGAGTGCTCACTGGAAGGACAGATCGTGAAGCTGAGGCTCCAAGACTTTGGCCACCTCATGAGAAGAGAAGACTCCCTGGAAAAGACCCTGATGTTGGGAAAGATGGAGGGCACAAGGAGAAGGGGACGACAGAGGATGAGATGGTGGGACAGTGTTCTCGAAGCAACCAGCATGAGTTTGACCAAACTGTGGGAGGCAGTGGAAGACAGGAGTGCCTGGCGTGTTCTGGTCCAGGGGGTCACAAAGAGGCGGACACGACTAAACGACTAAACAGCAACAACACCTCACAGAGTTGTTGTAGGGGTTAAAAGGGGGAACCATGTAGACCCCCTGGGTCTCTTTGGAGGAACAAAGGGAGGGCATAAATGTAATACAATCAATTTAGGTTTGGCTGAGAGACTGACTGGTCCCCAGGATTTGAAGAGGGTCCCGAGGGCCGTATAAAGCAGCTTGGAGGCCCGCATCCGGCCCCTGAGCCAGGGTTCTCCCACCAGTGACTGATGCAGTTAAAACAAAAAAGCACCTTCATTCTTCTTGGCGGCAGGAACTCTGCCCGCACTCAGAGGCACTCTGAGTCCATCGACCAAAAGAATGGGAGACGGTTTCTTTGGCAAGGAAGACACAGGTGTGTTCGTAAAAATTGCCTGTTTGTGTGCGGGGAGACCTTGGTTCTTGTTTGCCGAGCCCCCCGCCAGCCCTCAGTCTAACTGCAATGTTTAATCAGTTGGCCAATGTAATGTTGCTGGGGGCGGGGGCGCCAGGCTGGAATTAGGTTTGGAAATTAAGCCAGAAATTCCAAAAGAATAAAGGAATGCAACAGGGGGGAAATCCATTTATCCCTTTTTTCTTTTCTCTCCCTCCCTCTTATGCTAAGCAGACTAAGGATCCGTGAGTTATTTGTGTTGGAAATGCGGGCTTGGCCCTCACGCCAGCTCCTCGCACCCAGAGCGGTTTCCAAAAGGAAGCCCGCCCCCAATTTAAATAAATCCGGCATATGGATAATCCTATTGCATGCTAATAGAGGAGCTTCGGTGCTCAGCGCACCAGGCCAACTGCAGTCCGAATGGTCAGGTTGCAGCAAGCAGGACTTTTTAGTCCAGAGAAAAGGCAAGCGAGAGGCGACGCGAGGAAAGTATTGCAAAATGCACGATGCGGTAGGTGGAGGAAGTGAGCAGAGAAAATCTCCCCCCCCCCCCATCTCTCGCAATACAGTGGTGGTGGTTGTTGTCGTTTAGTCGTTTAGTTGTGTCCGACTCTTTGTGACCCCCTGGACCAGAGCACGCCAGGCCCTCCTGTCTTCCACTGCCTCCCGCAGTTTGGTCAAACTCATGCTGGTAGCTTCCAGAACACTGTCCCACTATCTCGTCCTCCGTCGTCCCCTTCTCCTTGTGCCCTCCATCTTTCCCAACATCAGGGTCTTTTCCAGGGAGTCTTCTCTTCTCATGAGGTGGCCAAAGTCTTGGAGCCTCAGCTTCAGGATCTGTCCTTCCAGTGAGCACTCAGGGCTGATTTCCTTAGGAATGGAGAGGTTTGATCTTCTTGCAGTCCATAGGACTCTCAAGAGTCTCCTCCAGCTCCAGAATTCAAAAGCATCCATTCTTTGGCGATCAGCCTTCTTAATTGGTCCAGCTATCACTTCCATGCATCACTACTGGGACAACCATAGCTTTTACTATACGGACCTTAATACAGTGGTACCTCAGGTTAAGTACTTAATTCGTTCCAGAGGTCCGTACTTAACCTGAAACTGTTCTTAACCTGAAGCACCACTTTAGCTAATGGGGCCTCCTGCTGCTGCCACACCGCCAGAGCACGATTTCTGTTCTCATCCTGAAGCAAAGTTCTTAACCTGAAGCACTATTTCTGGGTTAGCGGAGTCTGTAACCCAAAGCGTATGTAACCTGAAGTGTATGTAACCCGAGGTACCACTGTACTAGAACTCGGGGAACATCCGATGATGTTGGAAGATTGAGGGCAGCTAAAAAAGAAAGGACTTCTTCATGTGGCGCAGTTAAACTGTGGAACTCACCGCCACAGCAGGCGGCAACGGCCACTGACTTGAACCGCTTTAAAAGACGATTAGGCAATTCACAGGAGGAAGCTAGCAATGGCTATTAGCTATGATCAGAGGAAGAAAAGTTGTTGAGATTTTTGCTTTGGGGGGGGGCAAAGTCACTGAGCTTTCCTGCCCACAATATTGCAAATTCACAAAAGCAAAAGAAGGGAGTTTTTGAGCCAAAAGCAACGCTGCCACAATGGGTTGCCATACGTCCAGATTTTCCTGGACATTTTTCAGCCCAGACACTGCTTCCAACAGCAGTATTCCGGGAAATTCCAGGCGTATGGCAACCCTAAGAAAAACAAGAACTTTTTAGGGGGTGGGTAGAACCAAAGTCCTTCACACACACAGCTTTCCAACCTCCAAAACAGTCCAATGTGGTTGAAAGATGCCTGCAGGTCTGAGCACTGGAGGGAAAGGGCTTCGTGGAGAACAGTTCGGGGGTTTATTTGTGAAATATAATCCTGGGAGACACGGGTGGTGCTGTGGGTTAAACCACAGAGCCTAGGACTTGCCGATCAGAAGGTCGGCAGTTCGAATCCCCGCAATGATGGGGTGAGCTCCCGTTCCTCGGTCCCTGCTCCTGCCCACCTAGCAGTTCGAAAGCACCTCAAAGTGCAAGTAGATAAATAGGTACCGCTCCGGCGGGAAGGTAAACGGCGTTTCCGTGCGCTGCTCTGGTTCGCCAGAAGCGGCTTAGTCCTGCTGGCCACATGACCCGGAAGCTGTACGCTGGCTCCCTCGGCCAGTAAAGCGAGATGAGCGCCGCAACCCCAGAGTCAGCCACGACTGGACCTAATGGTCAGGGGTCCCTTTACCTTTTATCCTGGGAGAGGGTTTCAGCCAGCCATAAATAAGGAATCGCTGCCCATTTTGTTCCCCCTTTTTTTTAAGGTTTCTCAGCAGCGTGCCCGCCTTTCGCACTCGGGCCTCGCTCCGGGAGACGGGTGCCCCCCTCTCCCCATGACGGGATATGCAGATGGAGGGGGTGTGGCTATGCAAATGAGGGCATTCTCCGCTCTTCAATGGCTCCCCATTGAGGAGCGCGCTCTCTTTCGCTGACAAAAGGTGACATCAGCTCTCCATTGTCGGGTTTTCTTGTCCGGGAGACAATATCGCTCCTCTGAGCCCCCCCGGGGTTGGGAGCGTGTAGATGAGAAGCGATGGAAAGAGAGGGAGGTGGGGAGGGGAATTAAAATGAAGCCCTCGACATTGTTGCCATCAATATCTCAGCAAGCCTCTGGGAACAATATTGAAATCCCCTGGGAACAGGGCTGCTATGGAATGGCAGCTCGGCAGAAACCGGCCCTCTGTTCAGAAACGAGGTCTTTCCCTGACATCCTTTAAGGACGCAGCTATTTCCATTTATTCAGAATACTCTTTATGCCCCGCCGTCATCCCCCTGAGGAGATCGGGCCGACACGCATTTAAATCAAAAAAGTGGTTTTTAAAACCCGAGCAAGCGAAGCGTAGCACCACGGACAGAATCTCCCAGAGATCTTAAGAACTTTTTGAACTACCCTGAGTCTGGCACTGCCACATAAATCCCTGTTCTGCGTCTGCAAGAAACCGACGTAAGCTTTGGAACTCCCTGCCACTTGACACCGAACTCTTTCTCACCTGCTAAAAACATTTATTCTTTCGACAAAATGCCAGCGTGTTTTTAGTTTACTGCTGGCTTTAATTCTTTGAATATTTAAACATACACATACAGTGGTACCTCGGGTTAAGTGCTTAATTCGTTCCGGAGGTCCGTACTTAACCCGAAACTGTTCTTAACCTGAAGCACCACTTTAGCTAATGGGGCCTCCTGCTGCTGCCACGCCGCTGGAGCACAATTTCTGTTCTCATCCTAAAGCAAAGTTCTTAACCTGACGCGCTATTTCTGGGTTAGCGGAGTCTGTAACCTGAAGCCTATGTAACCTGAAGCGTATGTAACCTGAGGTACCACTGTATTCTTTTGTTTTATTCTTTTTTAAACTTTATTGCAAAACAATTTACATATAAAACACAAAGAGAATACCTTGATGACAACTAAACATTAACTAACAACACATCATCTAACATCACACACACTTTTGACTTCCGGTTCACCTCATTGTGTTTTCTACATATTCTTAACCTTCACACATTTCCTGTTATATCAGTTACATACACAGAAAATGTCCTACGTTTATAGTTTTCCTTAATATTCAAGATTCAGTCGAGACCTGTCAGGAGATTTGCATTTTCACAATATTGTTTTAGATATTCTTTAAATGTTATCCACTCTTTACACACTTTCTGGTTTGAGTTTCCTTTTATTCTCCCAGTCATTTTCGCAAGTTCCAAGTATTCTATCATCTTTACTTGCCAGTCAAGCTTTGTAGGAATTGAGTCACCTCTCCAGTTTTTTGCTACTAAAATTCTAGCTGCCGTAGTTGCATACATAAAGATGGTTCTAAAGTTGTTGGTTTTTTTATTTCAGTGGACATAAAGGCTTCTGGGTTTTTTGGAAGGAGAATTTAAAGATCTTTTTGAGTTTGTTGTATATTATATCCCAGAATTCTTGTATCCTCACACAGTCCCACCACATGTGCATGAAAGTAAGGTAAAGGTAAAGGGACCCCTAAGTAGGTAAAGGTAAAGGGACCTCTGACCATTAGGTCCAGTCGTGGCCGACTCTGGGGTTGCGGCGCTCATCTCGCTTTATTGGCCGAGGGAGCCGGCGTACAGCTTCCGGGTCATGTGGCCAGCAGGACTAAGCCGCTTCTGGCGAACCAGAGCAGCGCACGGAAACGCCGTTTACCTTCCCGCTGGAGTGGTACCTATTTATCTACTTGCACTTTGAGGTGCTTTCGAACTGCTAGGTGGGCAGGAGCAGGGACCGAGCAACGGGAGCTCACCCCGTCGTCGCGGGGATTCGAACCGCCGACCTTCTGATCAGCACGTCCTAGGCTCTGTGGTTTAACCCACAGCGCCACCTGCATCCCTTGTGCATGAAAGTACCTTCCCCATTTATTTTTGTTTTATTATTAGGGGAAACTGCTTTGATTTCTTCCTTTCCTTTTACAATCAAGTGGTATGTACCGTATTTTTCGCCCTATAGGACGCACTTTTTCCTTCCAAAAATGAAGCGGAAATGTGTGTGCGTCCTATGGGCAATGCAGGCTGAAGTCGCAGAGGCCGGTGCGCACAACCTCTCTCGCCAGGCCGCGGAGCTCCCAGCGCCGGGCTCCCGCGGCTTTCGGAGATTTTCCTGCATGCTGAAGCCTGTGCGCGTTGAGCTCAGCGCGTCCAGGCTTCGCGGACCTCTCCGCAAGCAGCGGGAGCCGGCGCTGGGCTCCCACGGCTTGCAGAGAGCTGCCTGTTTGGGGGCTGGGGTCGGGGGAAGCTCGGGCTTCCCCCGCCCCAGCTCCGCACCTGGGGGAAAAATAATTCCCCCCCCCCTTTATTTCCCCCCCAAAAAACTAGGTGCGCTTTATGGGACGGTGCGTCCTATAGGGCGAAAAATACGGTAATTTAAAAAAAAAACAAGGAACAGCACGCGAGTCTCCGAGACACAAAATAGACGCATCTCTTCTCCTTTTACTCATGGATGTGTTTTCTGGGCAGGTATCGACTTCGGATGGGTTTTGCCAGAGCTCAGCTGTGGGACCAGATCAAGATCCTTTTGCTAAACCTCCCAACCTGATTTTTTTAGTTTTTGGATTCGTAATAATGGCACTCGGAGACCTTGGGCAGCGGACAGGGTGCCAGCGCCCCGAGGGGTCCCAAAACAGAGGGGGACCCCCCCCACAATTCCTCTGGCCTTGCCATGCCCCGGGGCATTGTGGGAAATAAATGGCTACCCAGCATTCCTCGGAAGAGAGCCCGCCATTTGCGCCAGGCCTTCTCAAACCAGCCCTAAAAAGAGAATAATGACAGGGTGCAAAATGGTGTTCACCACACCCATATTTCGGCCATTTCTATTTTCTCATAATTCCTCATCACGAGGGAGGGAACCTTTCTCCCCATCCCTTCCCAGCAGCAAAGTGGGGCCACGAGCTTTTTAAAAAGGGGGGCCTGCCATTCCTCACCCCGCCCCAAACTGCCCCAGATGGACACAGCATCTGTGGGGATTTTGGAATTTGGAAAATGTCAAGTTGCTTTCCTACAGCATTCCTTCTGTGTCCAGCTCCACTGCAAAAAATAAAGCCCCCAAAGTAGCAAAAAGATCAGGTAGGAAAACAAACAGGACTTTAGCCAACACATATCAAAACACACACCCATTTTTTTATTTAAAATTTTGCTCCATTAAAAAAACCCCCACCAAAGTAGATAGTCCTTGTGTTGAAAAAACAGCTGTGCGGTTTCTGAAAGAATTGTAATTTTTTTATTATTATTACTTCCTGGCTACTTTTTTTTGCATCAAACGTCACGCTGTTTCCCCTCTTCCAAACATATGTGATTTTAGCAGGCAGAGAATGACTCGTGATTCCTGCATTTTCCTGGTTCAGAAAATCCACAAACCGCTCTGTGTGAATTCCTGGACGAAGACGCGGGTTGTGAACTGAAGGAGCGGTTTAGAAACTTGAAAACGTTGTCCAGAAAGCACAAAACCTACATGTTGTTTGCTATGGTGAAAATATTATCTTTTTTTAAAAAAAATTGAGAACCCCCAATCATTAGATCCCCATCCAAACACTTAATGTGTGTATCTGTAAATAGAAAGATATTGCAAAAATCCAAACGCTATCCAAACCTCGCAGCAAATATATCCTTTCAAAGGCTCCCCCTTTTGAGTTCCCAGCTCACTTGTTTCCGTCCTCCTGGTTGCAAGAGGTGGATAAGTCTCTTTATTTGATCAAATCAAGTCTTCATTGTTTTCAACAAGGACCAGCATTTAAGAAGCAAAAACATTTTTGGTTAGACGAGCCTGCCCAAATGTTAAGTCGATGTGAGTTTTAATCTGGTTTTTTTTTTAAAGCTTATTGTTCTTTCAACCTTGAGAATTATTGTTTTATATTTTTTTGTAAACCGCTTTGGAGTTTGTCTGTATTTTTACAATCCAGAGCAGCCTATTCCTGCCTTGCGGAGGGTTGGGTCCTTTCCAACTCTGCGATTTTATGATTCTAGATAAGTTTCAAATAAAACCCAGAACCACGTCGAACACATTATCCAATGAAATAAAATAAAGCTGGACAGAGCGGATTTAAATTAAGAGTTTTTGAGTCCCGTCGTGAACTCCAAGAAGGAAACTTTCAAGATACGCGAGGTCAGGTTTCTGGTGGGTTTTGCTAATGCAGTTCTTCGCGATATACAGGTGAAACTCGAAAAATTAGAATATCGTGGGAAAGTTCGTTGATTTCAGGAATTCAACTTGAATGGTGAAACTAATATATGAGATCGACTCGTGGAATGCAAAGCGCGACGTGCTTCTACTTCTCAGAGGTCCAATCTTCTCGATTTGCAATCCTTGTTTTGCTGATTTCCTTGAATATTCTAATTTTCTAAGATGGTTAATTTGGGGTTTTCACCAGCTGTACGCCATGATCGTGGCAATGATCACATATCAAGGCTTGACATATCTTGCTTTGCATGTCACGAGTCTGTCTCATATATTAGTTTCACCTTTCCAGTTGAATTCCTGAAATCAAGGAACTTTCTCACAATATTCTAATTTTTCGAGTTTCACCTGTAACTATTTTAAAAATCTGATTCTTCATTTCTTTAACGCCTCTCCATTCAGAAGGAGCGTTAAGGATAGATGCAGATGAGCTGAGGCCAACGCTTGAATCTACAGTTCCCCGGATAAGCAATGCTCTTAAATCGGTGTCTGAACGTGGTGTTAACACGAATTTTCGGTGACCCTTCCGAGCAAAGGGCTTTTCTTCAAACAGGATGTCCCCCGCCTGGCACCCGAGTCGGGACTGTCAAAGCCGATCTGTTTCAGGGACAGACGGAAAATCCACCTTGTCAAATTTAGGCCTCCCTAAAAGTGCTTTTCACATGCACCTTTTCTTTCCGCCCCTCAGCCGAACTGTCCATCCTAATCCGGGCCAATTTCATGCCTCGGAGAGTTCCCACCCACCACCCTGAGCTTTTAATTGCAAACTTTTTGCTCTTTCTCTCAAACCGACCCAGCCTCCTCCTCCTCCTCCTCTCTTCGCCCGCCTCTCCCGACTTATCTGCAGAACGCCGTCGAAAGCGTATCATTTGCCTTGTCAGGTTTTTATTGGGGGAAATCCGAACATGTCCAAGGATGTAGGGCGGAGAAAAGCACCCCGCTTGGGGGTCGGACAACTTTTGACATCAGTTTGATCAAAGATGCGGTATTAAAAGCGGGAGCTTTTGTGCGCGGGGTTCGCCCCCCTCCCCAAATCGCCCGGCTAAAGAAACGGAGGAAGCACCTCGGAGATGGCTAAGCTTCTTAGTAGGAGCTGGGCAACATCTGCGGGTCAAACGGCAATCGGCGCGAGGTCTTTCCCATGGGGGGGGACACATCTGGTAGGGCGCTGTGAGACTAGGATGCTGGACTCAACCTCGGCCCAGCAGCCAAGCTCTTCCGGTGCTCCTATGTATGGGAATGTAGCAGGAAAGTATATATTGGCAGTGCTGAATTTACATAGAGTGGTACCTCGGGTTAAGAACTTAAATCCTTCTGGAGGTCCGTTCTTAACCTGAAACTGTTCTTAACCTGAAGCACCACTTTAGCTAATGGGTCCTCCTGCTGCCGCCGTGCGATTTCTGTTCTCGTCCTTAAGCAAAGTTCTTAACCTGAGGTACTATTTCTGGGTTAGCGGAGTCTGTAACCTGAAGCGTCTGTAACCTGAGGTACCACTGTATAAGCTAAACAAGCTATAGCTTAGGGCCCCACTCTCTTCGGGGCCCCCCAAAAAAAATTAAAGGAAAAGAAACTGGATGTACATTTCCAGAATAGAAGATAAAAAACAAATAAAATAAAACCTACATCCAGCAACAGTGTTTTGTGTTGTGTCGGCTCCTAAGATGTAGGTCATGAGCCTTCTTGCCTGCTCCCTAAAATATCACTGGTTTGCTCATTTCTATATACAGTGGTACCTCGGGTTACATACGCTTCAGGTTACATACGCTTCAGGTTACAGACTCCGCTAACCCAGAAATAGTGCTTCAGGTTAAGAACTTTGCTTCAGGATGAGAACAGAAATTGTGCTCCGGTGGTGCGGCAGCAGCGGGAGGCCCCATTAGCTAAAGTGGTGCTTCAGGTTAAGAACGGACCTCCGGAACGAAGCAAGTACTTAACCCGAGGTGCCACTGTATAGGGTGCCTACATTCTGCATGGACTGGTTGCATGGCCACATGTGCAAAAGGCTTGAGATATCTATTAGGTCCATCAATTACCATATAGCATATATTCAGCACAAAAAAACAATGACAATTTGTTGTTGACAAAGGACAGCTGGACATAGAAAGGGCCCCATTACCTTCAGTAGCTTAGGGCCTCATCAAACCTAGATCCAGCCCTGGGTAGGTGGGATTCGAACCCCAGTCTCTGAGGCCTTAGTCTGACACTACACCTCACCAGTATGAGTGAGATGAGTCTCATCGCAGCCACACTAAACGATTGAGTTCTTATAGATGCAGTTTGGATGTTATGTGGCACCTTTGGGGATGCGGGTGGCGCTGTGGTCTAACCCACTGAGCCTCTTGGGCTTGCTGATCAGAAGGTCGGCGGTTCGAATCCCCACGACGGGGTGAGCTCCCGCTGCTCTGTCTCAGCTCCTGCCAACCTAGCGGTTCGAAAGCACGTCAAAGTGCAAGTAGATCAGTAGGTACTGCTGTGGCAGGAAGGTAAACGGTGTTTCCGTGCACTCTGGCTACCATCACAGTGTACCGTTGCACCATAAGTGGTTTAGTCCTGCTGGCCACATGACCCAGGAAGCTGTCTGTGGGCAAACGCCAGCTCCATCGGCCTAAAAGCAGAGATGAGCGCCGCAACCCCATAGTCACCTTTGACCGGATTTAACCGTCCAGGTGTCCTTTACCTTTACCCTCGTGGCACTTGCAGAAGTGCCAATTCCCCCAATCAGGGATACCAGGGTTCAAGAGTCCCCTAAGTTGTTCAGAGCTTTGCACATCGATAGGTAAAGGTAAAGGGACCCCTGACCATTAGGTCCAGTCGTGGCCGACTCTGGGGTTGCGGCGCTCATCCCGCATTACTGGCCGAGGGAGCCGGCATACAGCTTCTGGGTCATGTGGCCAGCAGGACTAAGCCGCTTCTGGCTAACCAGAGCAGCGCACGGAAACGCCATTTATCTTCCCGCCGGAGTGGTACCTATTTATCTACTTGCACTTTGTCGTGCTTTCAGACTGCTAGGTTGGCAGGAGCAGGGACCGAGCAACGGGAGCTCACCCCGTCATTGTGGGGATTCGAACCGCCAACCTTCTGATTGGCAAGCCCTAGGCTCTGTGGTTTAACCCACAGCACCACCCGCGTTCCTTTTGCACATCGATGCAAGGATCTTGAGCATGACTCGGTAGTAGGTGCAGTCTGGCTCCTGCATTTTCCCCCAGCCAGGGCGTCTGAACCAGGTCCGAGGGCAGCCCCACCAAGTTTGTATTACAGTAGTCCAGCCTCAAAGTTACCAACCCATGGATTGTAACGGCAAGGCTGTCTCTGTTCAGGGATGAAAAGGGAATTTGCTGGAAGTGGCTACCTTGGGTCCATGAATTTAAAGTGGCTGACTCTTGAGTAGGGCCTCTGTCGGAGACAGCCCTACACGAATCGCCCAGCGAGGGCAGCCTGCCCTGAAACACGGGCCATTTGAGCAAAATGAAAAAGAGTATGGAAGGGAAACAATTGACCCCATTGCACTGTTTGTGTTCATGGTGCAAAATTCACGAAGGAAGCCAAACCACGACAATGTTGGTGTCATTTTGGGCTATAGGGTTCTGAAACAGAGCAGGGATTTAAGAACAGGGGCTTCAGAAATAACCCTATAAATCTGCCCTTTTTGGAAATGTGTAAAATTGAAACTTTATGTAGGACACATGTGGGTTTTTTTTGTGATGACGTTCTTTCTCTCCTCTCCCTCCTTTTGTCTCTTGCAGCGGCAACGCCTCCGAACTTGGTCGACAAGCCCTGCTTAAAGCTGAAGGTTTACGTCCGGCCGACAAGTAAGTGACGTCTCAGGACACCGGAAAGATCCTCTGCAGGTTCCAGGGTGCCATTTCGGCAAATCCCAGGGTGCAAATCCGCACACAAACACATACCCATCTGGGATTCGCGATTCAGGCATCGGGTCTCTGCGAATCCCAGCCAGGGCAGGATTCGTGGCTCAGAAACCGTGTCAAAATACATTCTGAAACTCGCCATTTGAGAGAAAACACTTTTCAGAGCGCATTTTTTTGGGGGTGGGCGATGCAGTTAAGAAATGCAGGGTTTCGTCAATTATTATTTTCTTCCCTCCCTGCGAGCAGCCACGTTACAGGGAACCAGGCAGAGGGCCTTCTCGGTGGTGGCACCCGCCCTGTGGAACGCCCTCCCACCAGATGTCAAAGAGAAAAACAACTAGCAGACTTTTAGAAGACATCTGAAGGCAGCCCTGTTTAGGGAAGCTTCTAATGTTTAGTCGGTTATTGTATTTTAGTGTTTTGTTGGAAGCCGCCCAGAGTGGCTGGGGAAACCCAGTCAGATGGGTGGGGTTTAAATAAATTATTATTATTATTATTATTATTATTATTATTATTATCATCATCATCTTTATATACCGTCTCTCTCTGCTGGGGGAGCTGTGAAGCAGACAAGAAACTCAGCAATACTATGTTTGTAGAGGACTTGGGTCTTTGGGTGGCTGTCAGACCTATAGAATCATAGAATCATAGAGCTGGAAGAGACCACAAGGGCCATTGAGTCCAACCCCCTGCCAAGCAGGAAACACCATCAGAGCACTCCTGACATATGGTTGTCAAGCCTCTGCTTAAAGACCTCCAAAGAAGGAGACTCCACCACACTCCTTGGCAGCAAATTCCACTGTCGAACAGCTCTTACTGTCAGGAAGTTCTTCCTAATGTTGAGGTGGAATCTTCTTTCTTGTAGTTTGGATCCATTGCTCCGTGTCCGCTTCTCTGGAGCAGCAGAAAACAACCTTTCTCCCTCCTCGATGTGACATCCTTTTATATATTTGAACATGGCTATCATATCACCCCTTAACCTCCTCTTCTCCAGGCTAAACATGCCCAGCTCCCTTAGCCGTTCCTCATAAGGCATCGTTTCCAGGCCTTTGACCATTTTGGTTGCCCTCCTCTGGACACCTGAGCACTTTCTGAGAATCACAGAACTGTAGAGTTGGAAGGGACCTCTTGAGTCATCTAGTCCAACCCCCTGCAATGCAGGAATCTCAGCTAAAGCATCCACGACAGAGGGCCATCCAACCTCTGCTTGAAAACCACCAGGGAAGGAGAGTCCACAACCTCCCGAGGGAGAACGTTCCACTAGCTCTTACTGTCAGAAAGTTACTCCTGATGTTTAGTCGGAAAGTCCTTTGTCGTAACTTGAATCCATCGGTTCAGGTCTTTTCCTCCAGAGCACCTGAAAACAAGCTCGCTCCATCTTCCATGTGGCAGCCTATTGGAAGATGGCCATCATATCCCCTCTCAGTCTCTAAATATACCCAGCTCCTTCAACCGTTCTTCATCAGGCTTGGTTTCCAGACCCTTGATCATCTTGGTCACCCTCCTCTACACACCTTCCAAGCTTGTCAATCTCCTCCTTAAATTGTGGCGCCCAGAACTGGTGTGGTCTGAGCAGGCAGAATAGAGTGGGACTATGACTTCCCTTGATCTGGACACTAGATTTCTGTTTGATGCAGCCTAGAACAGCGTTAGCCTTTTTTGCTGCTGCATCACATGGCTGACTCGCACTGTATCCCCTGAATATCTGGTCTGTTTTCTGCTGTTGTTGCTGTAAAGTGGTACCTTGGTTCTCAAGCTTAATCCATTCCGGAAGTCCGTTCCAAAACCAAAGCGTTCCAAAACCAAGGCGTGCTTTCCCATAGAAAGCAATGCAAAATGGATTAATCAGTTCCAGACTTTTAAAAACAACCCCTGAAACAGCAATTGAACAGGAATTTTACTATCTATCGAGACCATTGATCCATAAAATGAAAGCAATGATCAGTGTACTGTACTATAAAATAAGTAAGACAGTGTTGTAGATTTAAAAGATAAAAATAATTACCTGCGCTGATGATCGTCAAAACAACAAATGAACCAAAAAAGCCACAAAAACGCAAAATAAATGGCAAAAAACAAAAGCGCCAAACTTAATCTGTCCTGGAAGCCCGTTTGACTTCCGAAATGATCGAAAACCAAGACACAGCTTCTGATTGGTGCAGGCGCCCCAGAAACAATAGCCAACAGCCGCGTCGGACGCTCGGCTTCCGAAAAACATTTGGAAACCGGAACACTTACTTCTGGGTTTTCGACATTTGGGAACCAAGGCATTTGAGAACCAAGGCGTTTGAGAACCAAGGCATTTGAGAACCAAGGTCCCACTGTATGTCCATAGTAATGGCGACGATGCAAAAGCTTTTCCAGGGAAACTGGAAGAGCAAACCTTTCCTTCCGCATGTTGTCCCCGTGAGATCAAATCAGTGAAAGGCCTTTTAGACCCCGACCCCATCTGCACCAACCTTCACCCCACTCTTTCTAAACCCACTTCAACCACTGGCTTTCTTGGCGGGTGAAATGCCAAGCGCAGGGGGTGCTTTTGGCCCGAGAAAATAGCACCCGAGCGCCACTCAGATCTCCGACAAATTATCTTCGGTTCTGCTCTGGGGCTGGAAGAAAGAGGGAAATAAAATAAATCTAGATTGATGCCTGCTTGGTACATAACCCCACAGGGCTGCTTTTGTTTTCGCAGAGGGGGGGGGGGAAAGAGAGCAAATTATTTTAGGGTTTTTTTTTTCTCCTTCCCTCTTTTCTTTTTCGTAAAAAGGCCAGCCTCCAGCTCTCCGTACAGGGGGGTTTCTCCCCCACTTCCCCCGAATCAAATAGGCGCAGCTGTTTTGGAGAAAAAAGAAAACACAAATTAATAATTTTCTCCTCCTGTTAACGTATAATTAGTATTTGGCCACAGCTCTTCCCAGGGAGCAGGTAGAAAAGAGTGAGAAATGTCAGAGTCTAAAGGGATATTGTAAGGGCTTGTTTTTCCCTTTCCTTGTTTCGTGTGTGTGTGTGTGTGTGTGTGTGTGTGTGTGTGATTGAGGCAGCTTTTAAAGAAAACAAAACCGCTTTGCTAATGAAAGAATAAATGGCTTTAAAAAAAATATTTTTTTAAAAAACAACCCGGGTAGTTATGAGCTGTTAGGCCTGTCGGTTTCACGTTTCTTTCGCCACCCTTAAATTTCAGTCCCCACATCAGTTTGTGAATTCCCCCCCCCCCCGCCCCGCTATAAAAAGCCGATGTTTTTCTGCAAATTTATCCTAAGCTACATCTAATTGCATGCAGTTTCACTAATTGGCACTTTTTTGCAAAGCGGTTTTCTGGCGGCTGCGCTGACTGGGGCTGATGGGGCTATAGTCCCAAAAATCCGGAGGGCACCAGGTTCAGAGAGGCTGAGATATGGGGTCGCCGCTTTAGGGAACTAAATGTTCTATAGGACTCCACCCTATCTGGGCATAAGCTGCATTGATCTTAGTAGGACATAGCTTGGTGTAGACGCGGGTGGCGCTGTGGGTTAAACCACAGAGCCTAGGACTTGCTGATCAGAAGGTCAGCGGTTCGAATCCCCGCGATGACGGGGTGAGCTCCCGTTGCTCGGTCCCTGCTCCTGCCAACCTAGCAGTTTGAAAGCACGTAAAAGTGCAAGTAGTTAAATAGGTATCGCTCCGGCGGGAAGGTAAACGGCGTTTCCGTGCACCAGAAGCGGCATAGTCCTGCTGGCCACATGACCCGGAAGCTGTACGCCGGCTCCCTCGGCCAGTAAAGCGAGATGAGCGCCGCAACCCCAGAGTCGGTCACGACTGGACCTAACAGTCAGGGGTCCCTTTACCTTTACCTTTAGACCTGCGTAGGACCTCACTGTAAGGCTGCTGCCTGGAACCCATTTACGAAGGAATACATCCCATTGGAAGTTAGTAACAGTAATTATTATTATTATTATTATTACTATTTTATTTATGCCCCGTCCATCTGCCTGGACCTCCCCAGCCACTCTGGGTGGCTCCCAACAGAATATTAAAAACACGATAAAACATCAAACATTAAAAACTTCCCTAAACAGGGCTGCCTTCAGATGTCTTCTAAAGGTCAGATCATTGTTTATTTCCTTGACATCTGATGGGAGGGCGTTCCACAGGGCGGGTGCCACCACTGAGAAGGCCCTGTGCCTGGTTCTCTGTAACCTCGCTTCTCTCAGGGAGGGAACTGCCAGAAGGCCCTCGGAGCTGGACCTCAGTGTCTGGGCTGAACGATGGGGGTGGAGACGCTCCTTCAGGGATACTGGGCCAAGGTCGTTGAGGGCTTGAAAGGTCAGCACCAATACTTTGAATTGTGCCCAGAAACATCCCAGAAGCCAATGTAGGTCTTTCAAGACCGGTGTTATGTGGTCTTGGTTGCCGCTCCCAGTCCCCAGTCTAGCTGCCGCATTCTGGATTAGTTGTAGTTTCGGGGTCACCTTCAAAGGCAGCCCCATGGAGAGCGCATGGCAGTAGTCCAAGCGGGAGATAACCAGAGCATGCACCACTCTGGCCAGACAGTCTGCTGGCAGGGAGGGTCTCATCCTGCGTACCAGATGGAGCTGGTAGACAGCTGCCCTGGACACAGAACTGACCTGCACCTCCATGGACAGCTGTGAGTCCAAAATGACCCCCAGGCTGCGCACCTGGTCCTTCAGGGGCACCGTTACCCCATTCAGAACCAGGGAGTCCTCCACACCTGCCCACCTCCTGTCCCCCAAAAAACAGTCCTTCTGTCTTGTCAGGATTCAACCTCAATCTGTTAGCCGCCACCCATCCTCCAACCGCCTCCAGACACTCACACAGCACCTTCATTGCATAGCTTAGCAGCAGTCTGTCTTGTTTACCGAAGGTCCCAGGTTCATAGAGTCATAGAACTGGAAAGTTGGAAGGGACCTTGAGGGTCATCTAGTCCAACCCCCCTGGAATGCAGGAATCTTTCACCCAATGTGGGGCTTGAACCCACAACCCTGAGATTAAAAGCCTGGTGAGGATGTCAGCTAGTTGGAAGGTGTCCAGAGGAGGGCGACCAAGATGATCAAGGGTCTGGAAACCAAGCCATATGAGGGACGGTCGAAAGAGCTGAGTGTGTTGAGCCTGGAAAAGGGGTGACTGAGAGGAGCTATGATAGCCATCTTCTGATATCTTAAGGGCTGTCACAGGGACGATGGACCAGGCTTGGTTTCTCCTGCTCTGGAGGGGGTGGACTCAGACCAAGAGCTGTTGAGGTCCCTTAAAACTCTACATTTCTGTCATTCTATGCTCTACCAACGGAGCTATTTATGCTCTTGCATATCCTTTCCTCTTCTGTGATTACGACAAGCATTTTGTTCATAATAATCCTGGACGGTGAGGGGGGGGCAGCGGTGGAGCCGAACGCAGAACACAAAGGGGGATTGGCATCTGTGGATATTGTTGTTCCTTCCTTCCCCTCCTCCCCTGGCTATGATCCTGCAAAAACCACCCTTAATCCCGTCGTAAACTTTAAAAGACGAGACAAGCCGGGGGAACGGCGTTCGCAGTAATTTAGCCGACGCTCTTCTGCGCCGCCGGCTGACGAGGGGCCTTTTCCAGGTGGGATTATCGGACGGGCGACAAGCAGCCGCCCTTTGACCCTTCGGCCGCAGGCAGGGCCAATAATAATAATAATAATAATAATAATAATAATAATAATTTCTTTATACCCTGCCCATCTGGCTGAGCTTCCCCAGTCACTCTGGGCGGCTTCCAATCAAATGTTAAAAACAAGACAGCATTAAATATTAAAAACTTCCCTAAACAGGGCTGCCTTCAGATGTCTTTTAAAAAGAAGATAGCTGCTTATTTCCTTCACATCTGAAGGGAGGGTGTTCCACAGGGCGGGCGCCACTACCGAGAAGGCCCTCTGTCTGGTTCCCTGTAACCTCACTTCTTGCAGGGAGGGAACCGCCAGAAGGCCCTCGGAGCTGGACCTCAGTGTCCGGGCAGAATGATGGGGGTGGAGACGCTCCTTCAGGTATACAGGACCGAGGCTGTTTAGGGCTTTCAAGGTCAGCACCAACACTTTGAATTGTGCTCGGAAACGTACTGGGAGCCAATGCAGATCTCTCAGGACCGGTGTTATGTGGTCCCGGCAGCCACTCCCAGTCCCCAGTCTAGCTGCCGCATTCTGGATTAATTGCAGTTTCCAGGTCACCTTCAAAGGGAGCCCCACATAGAGCGCATTGCAGTAGTCCAAGCGGAAGATAACTAGAGCATGCGCCACTCTGGCCAGACAGTCCGCGGGCAAGGAGGGTCTCATCCTGCATACCAGTTGCAGCTGCCCTGGACACAGAATTAACCTGCACCTCCATGGACAGCTGTGAGTCCAAAATGACTCCCAGGCTACGCACCTGATCCATCAGGGGCACAGTTACCCCATTCAGGACCAGGGAGTCCTCCACACCTGTCTGCCCCCTGTCCCCCAAAAACAGTCCTTCTGTCTTGTCAGGATTCAGCCTCAATCTGTTAGCCGCCATCCATCCTCCAAGAAACCAAACACGCAAGGCCACCAGCCCCCAAGAGGCGTCCTTGGCAGTGGATGATCTTGGCAAAGCTCCGCCGGCTGGCTGGGGTCCACTGAGCAAAGAAATAAATGAAAATGCCTCCCGTTTATTTTGAAATGGACTCTTGCCTGCGAGAGGCAGCCAGAGGGCGGCTTGGGAGCTTGTCAACACGCTGCCCTTTCCCTCTGGGTCATCACCCTCTTCCTTTCTGCACACCCACACTTCCCACGAGAGAAAGCTGGCAACCTGGGCGGCTGGGCTGGGGCCAGGAAACGGCGAGATGAAGATGGAATGCACCGTCCAACGAGGAGGCCAAAGGGAGACCCCTCTAGTCCAGCATTCTGTTCTCGCAGTGGCTGGCCGGATGCTCTGAGTGCAACAGGATATCTCCCCTCCTTCGGGAATCTCTCCAGCAAGTACCGTATTTTCGCTCTATAGGACGCACCAGACCACAAGACGCGCCTAGTTTTTGCAGGAGGAAAACAAGAAAAAAAAACATTCTGAATCTCAGAAGCCAGAACAGCAAGAGGGATCACTGGACAGTGAAAGCAGCAATCCCTCTTGCTGTTCTGGCTTCTGGGATAGCTGCGCAGCCTGCATTCGCTCCAAAAGACTATTACTATTTAGGAGGGGGAAAGTGAGTCTTATAGAGCAAAAAATACGGTAGTATTCGGAAGCATCGCTGCCTCCCAAAAGCACCACGCAAAAGGAAGTCCTTCTTTGCAGGGCGCACTGTTAAACTATGGCTTTTCCTCCCACATCGGGCAAGGAGCGCCACAAACTGTGATCTGAGGCCCTTCTTCATGTGCCTCCTCCATAATAATAATAATAATAATAATAATAATAATAATAATATTTATACCCCGCCCATCCGGCTGGGTTTCCCCAGCCACTCTGGGCGGTTCCCAACAGAATATTAAAAACACGATAAAACATCAAACATTAAAAACTTCCCTAAACAGGGCTGCCTTCAGATGTCTTCTAAATGTCAGATAGTTGTTCATTTCCTTGACATCTGACGGGAGGGTGTTCCACACGGCGGGCGCCACCACCAAGAAGGCCGTCCGCCTGGTTCTCTGTAACCTCGCTTCTCGCAGGGAGGGAACTGCCAGAAGGCCCTCGGGAGATGGACCAGAGTGTCCAGGCTGGACGATGGGGGTGGAGACGCTCCTTCAGGGATACTAGGCCGTTTAGGGCTTTCAAGGTCAGCACCAACCCTTTGAATTGTGCTCAGAAACGTACTGGGAACCAACGTAGGTCTTTCAGGACCGGTGTTATATGGTCTCGGCGGCCCCTCCCAGTCACCAGATGCGTAGGAAGGGGGGGTGCAATTTGATCAAATCAAATGAAAAGATTTGACAATAAAAATACCTATCTATCGATAAGTATTACTTACTATACTTGACACCAATACCAGTGTTTTTTGTACATTATATCATCTGTCTTGGGTTGAACCCCTTTCCAGTTTATTGTATTGTTGACTTCCTTCCACCTCATTATGGTTTTCTCTGTAGAAGTTTTGATCCTCCTGATTTCTGATTTTCCCAGTTAATCATGCCATCTCTGCATAGTCCAATAGTTTCATCTGCCAGCCCACCTTCATCTTTTCATCTTTCCAACTCTGGGTGAACAACATCCTTGCAGCTGTTACGTAGTGTACATAAACAGTCCTTTCAGTTCTTTCGGTATCTCTGCATCTACAATTCCTAACCAAAAGCCTTCTAGGTTTTTATTAACGAGGGTTATTTTAAACATTTTTTTCAACTCATTACATATCATCTTCCAGAATTCCTTTATCGCTTTACAGTTCCACCACATGTGGAGAAAGGTGCCTTCCTTCTCCTTACATTTCCAACCAACATTTGAACTTGCCCTGTACATTTTCACTTATTTGTTGGGAGTCAAATAACCAGCGGTACATCGTTCACTCCCTCTTTCCCTTCTTATACCCCTCTTTTATTTCCTCGCAGACGATTCTCTCTACGAGTCCCCAGAGCCGATATTCACCAGCAATAACTCCTGCCACAGCTTCCGGGTCCCCGAGACTTTCTTCGTGGTGGTGGTGGTCCCAGTTTTCTGGACTATCCTGACTTCCTAGCCCTGCTAGGTGAGGACAGAAGAGGAAGAAAACTGGAGCTCTTTTCAGCAGCCGCTGGGGGGGAAAAACGAGGGGGGGAGGATTGAAAAAGCGAGAGAGAGAGAGAGGGCGTGAACGAAGAATGAAGAGAGAACTCGCGGCGATGACTTTGTTCAGTTTTGTGTGGGGAGGGAAGGGTGTGTAGTCAATGGATCTCTGAACTGCGGTCTCAGCCACCGACGAGCTTGCGGATCGGGGCGCCTCAGACAGCCAGGTGGACGGACCCTGCCTCCATTTCCCAGGTCAAGCCACTGTTACGGTTCACAACCGGACCCCCGCTACACCCCGTCAGATCTGGGGCGGCGGAAGGATCAGTGAGATAGCTGGACAGAGAAGGCAAGAGACCGGTTTCTGAAAGCCTGCGGTGGGAGACAAGCAGGTTCTGTGCTTCCACGACGCTCTGCGGACCATTTTCGTCTGGCCAGGATGCAACCCCATTGGGGGGGTTCCTGTTTTCCCACCCCCACCCCATGGGGTTTTTCTTTTCAAAAATTCTAGACCAAATATAGTCTCCTTCCTTCTACACCCCTCTGTTCCTTCCTCCCAGCTTCGGGTTTTTTGTGCCGGTCTTTTTTCTGCAACTGGAACCGAAAGAGACATCGCAGTGAGGAGGGAGGAACAGGTGCCTCACCTATTGCCCTTCTGTTTTCCCCTCTTCCTCTCTGTGTCCCCTTGGACAAAGGCGGGCAGCCCGTTCGGCCGCAGTGGCCAAATTTCCTCACTCGCAAAACGCACACACCAGGCAGCTAGGATTGGGGGGCCTAGGAGCCAAAGGGGACCACCAGCCCCCCGAACCACACAGAGGACTAGAATCCTGCCCTGCCCAAATCAGCCTTTGATTTAGACCCACCCCCACCCCCCGTTTCTGTTAACTATTGTTGGTGCAGCGGACCCACTGCCATCCGGACCCAGCAGGTCAAACCGACGCCTCGCCTGTTGCGTAAGACGTCGCCGGTCTACGGGAGAGGAGATGTTCTGCCCGTCGCTCCAAAGAGGAGGACTCTGGACTTGACACGATGGCTGGGCAAGGGGTTTGTAGTGGGAGGGTTGCTTTTAAACCCCGTGAGGAGTAGGGGGAAGGCGGGGAGGAGACCAGCACATGGTACGGCCAACTACGTATGACACAACTGGGTGAGCGATGGAGGTTGTCTTGTCTGTGTGTCCATCCCCACACCTGCTTGGGGCATCATCCGCAAGTGTTTAGCAACAGACAGCAGGGTCACAGAGAGCCCAACTCTAAGCAGTGGGGTGTTTGGGGTCAGCAGCCCTGCTCCCTGAACTCGCCTGCATCGTCCAGCGAAAATTGCCCATGGCCCTCCGGTCAAAATCCCCCAGAGGGTGGAGCCACGCTCCAAAAATCCAATGGTGGGCATCCAATGTGGATTTGAGTAAGAACCACCCCCCAAAATTGAGCCCAGCTGGTGTCAAGAGCTGCCCTGATGGCACTTAGGAAAGGAAGTCTACACGGTCAAACCTTGGTTCCTGAACGGCTCTGTTTCGGAACGTTTCGGCTCCCGAACGCTGAAAACCCGGAAGTACCATATTTTTTGCTCTATAAGACGCACCAGACCACAAGACGCACCTAGTTTTGGGAGGAGGAGAACAAGAAAAAAAATATTCTGAATCTCAGAAGGCAGAGCAGCAAGAGGGATCGCTGTGCAGCGAAAGCAGCAATCCCTCTTGCTGTTCTGGCTTCTGGGATAGCTGCGCAGCCTGCATTCGCTCCATAAGATGCACACACATTTCCTCTTACTTTTTAGGAGGGGAAAAGTGAGTCTTATAGAGCAAAAAATACATTAAATGCTCCCTTTTTCAGAAACTGAATGTCCGACGCGGCTTCCGTTTGAGTGCAGGAAGCTCTTGCAACCAATCGGAAGCCGTGCCTCGGTTGTCGAACGGGCTTCTGGAACGGATTACGTCCGACAACGGAGGTTTGACTGTATTGGGTTTTAAAGACATAATATTGGGTTTATATAGGAGAGTTAAAGCTGGGAAGCTGTAATTCAAACATCACTCCAAAAAGAGTAAAAGTGGTCCCATTGGTAAAGGAGAAAAGGGGTTATTTATTTATGGTTTCTTCCTATTTGCAAGAACGGTTTTGGGACGCTAAGCCGACCCAGTGCCTTGTCTCATGCAGGAGGGTGAGAAAGGGAGATTTGTAGCTTGGCAGGGAACCACGTTCGGCTTCCAAAAATCGTTCGAAATCCGGAACACTTACTTCCGGGTTTTCAGCGTTTGAGAACCAAGGGGGGGTGTACGTACGTACGTACGTACGTACGCGCACACACATATATATACACACATATATACACCAACAAAAACAATCCCGAACAATTAAAGTCCTGGAACGATTGCTGCAGTTCAAATTGGTGCTAAATTTCCACAGTCAGTTGACGTGTTGACATCTATACCCTGTGAGTCTCTTAACTGTAGATCAGGGGTGGACAGCTCCCAAAAGACTGTGATCTAGTCACAGAGTTAAAAACTGGCAGTGATCTACCCCCTTTTGGGGGGTTCAGGTCAAAGTTGTTGTTGAGTTTTTCTTAGGACGGAGGAAGGCCCATTTTCCTGGGGTTCAGGTCAAACTTGTTGAGCCTTTTTTAGGGGAGCCAAAGAAGTTGTTGAGCTTCTTTGGGGGGGGCAGTGATCTACCACCACAGACGTCCAGTGATCTACCTGTAGATCACAATCTACCGTATTTTTCGCTCTGTAAGATGCACCAGACCGCAAGACGCACCTAGTTTTTGGAGGAGGAAAAAAATATTCTGAATCTCAGAAGCCAGGACAGCAAGAGGGATTGCTGCGCAGCGAAAGCAGCGATCCCTCTTGCTGTTCTGGCTTCTGGGATAGCTGCGCAGCCTGCATTTGCCCCATAAGATGCAACCACATTTCCCCTTACTTTTTAGGAGGGGAAAAGTGAGTCTTATAGAGCCAAAAATACAGTACCTGTTGGATGTGCCTACTGTCGATCTTCCTTCTGGGGTATGGGATGGGATGCCCGTAAAACACCCTCTAGCATGCCCATCCGTCCTTCCCCGCTAAATTCCCAGCGCTGTGGATTTTGGGCCCCTCATCTCGCTTCTGGGCGGCGCAGCCAAGGGGCAGCCAATTTGGGGGCTGGGGGAAGAAGTGAAAGGACCACACGCCATTTGCCGGGGGGCTACGCAGGCCACGTTTGACCCCCCCCGGCTCTCCTCGCTTGACCCCAGGTGTGCCATACCTGAGAATAGCACAAGAATCCCAGAATGACCCTTGTTTGCGTTGCTGCTGTCGGGAGGTCAGGAAGGGACAGATCCACTGCTCTACTTTAACGGCTAAGGAGAGGAAACGAGGTTTTTGATCCCTAAAATATTATCCAAATTCTTGGTTCCTCTTCCCTCCCTACCCCCCCCACCGAAAAAAGAAACAGGATTCTCCACCCCATCACGGAACTGTAGCAAGAATACTTTGTCTCTCAAGACTGCCTCCCTGGTGCTTAATAATTTTTCGATGGATATCTTTTTTTCCGTTCTCGCCAGGCGGGGGCCGGCGGGGACGGGGACCCTGCAAAACAGCAAATACGAACCCCCCCCCAACTCCAACTCTGTCTTTCTCTGAGCCAAGGGACTTGTTTGGAACAGCTGTTCTATTTCTGTACATATTGCCACCAGGCGTAATACTGTGATTATGAATTATTATGAATTATTATTATTATTATTATTATTTTTTAACGCCTCTTTGCCGAGAATGAATGGTTTTGATGGACGGGGTTTTTTCTGTTATTATTTTAAGTTTTAATTTCCTTGGGGAGGGTGGGGAAAATGTTGTCGGTTGGTTGTGTGTGTGTGTTTTTTTAATTTTTAAAAATAGAAACCTAAAATTCTTCCTTTCTTTTTTTAAAAAAAAAAAACCTGCAATAATCTCTTGACGATCAAAAAATGTTTTTCAAATGACCTGCTCCCGCCTTCGCATCTTCCTCATTCAGTCCTTTGTAAACCACACAGTATTGCGTTTCTTGGAAACAAATCGACACACACAAACACACACACACACACAATGCATTTATAAAAAAAGGGTTCTTATTTGAACCGCCGTGTTCTCCTTTTAAAAAATAAATAGGGGAAGGAGGTCAGATTTTTGATACAGCGAGAGAAAACGTCTCACTGGTTTTCCTTCAGGTGTTCTCCAAAGAGGCTTCGTAGTTTTAAGGTGAAACCGCAGGATGGAAACAAGTGGATCGTGGCCATATACTCGAGTTGACCCATTGAAACTAACAGACCTTTTGTAAAAGTTTTTATTTATTTATTAAGATTTCCCCATAATACGGCCAAATTACAACTACAGAAGATGCACATCGAATCTTCTGCTTTTGCTTTTGGAAAACGAATGGACTTTAAGTTAGAGATCTCTGTTGGTTTCAGTAGATCTACCCCAAGGAACTGTCCATTCCAGTTTCTCGCAGGCAAGGAAAACAGGAAGGTGCCTTAACGCTGAGTCAGCCCACACGGACTGGCAGCAGCTGTCCAGAGTTTCAGGCCAGCGCTACAGCCTTCCCCTTAAAAGTAAAACGAATGTCTATTCCTCATGACTCTGGAAAAAAGTTTCAAACAGGAAGAAAATTGGGTTTGATTAGGAACGGAAGAAGCTGAGTCAGAGCAATGGGTCTTCGAGTTTGTTACTGCCTGCATGGACTGGCAGCAGCTGTCCCCAGTCTCAGGCAGGGGTCTCCTCCAGGGGCTTCCGAGAGATTGAAACAGGGACGTTCCGCATGCCAAGCAGGTGATCTGGCACCGAGCAAGAGCCCTTCCCCAGGCCTGGTGAAATAAAGCCCTCCTTCGCACAATGCACAGTTAACCTGCGGAACTCCCTGCCACATGAGGCCACCCAACCTGGATGGCTTTGAAAGAGGATGAGACGAGATTGTGGAGGGGGAGAGGGCTGTTAACGGCTAGTAGCCACAGTGGCTATGCCCTCTTTCTGGAAACCACACGAGGGAGGACGTTGCTCTTTCGCTCGGGTCCCACTTGCTGGTTTCCCTTTTGGCCACGGTAAGAATATTAATAATAATAATAATAATTTATTTGTACCCCACCCATCTGGCTGGGTCTCCCCAGCCACTCTGGGTGGCTTCCAACAAAGATTAAAAATACATTAAAATGTCACACATTAAAAACCTCCCTAAACAGGGCTGCCTTCTGGTGACTTCAAGATGTCAGGTAGTTGTTTATTTCCTTGACATCTGACAGGAGGGCATTCCACAGGGCGGGCGCCACCACCGAGAAGGCCCTCTGCCTTTTTCCCTGTAGCTTTGCTTCTCGCAATGAGGGAACCGCCAGAAGGCCCTCAGAGCTGGACTTCAGTGTCTGGGCTGAACGATGGGGGTGGAGACGCTCCTTCAGGGATATGGCCGTTTAGGGCTTTCAAGATCAGCACCAACACTTTGAATTGTGCTCGGAAACGTCCTGGGAGCCAATGTAGGTCTTTCAGGACAGGTGTTATATGGTTTCGGAGGCCGCTCCCAGTCCAGCTGCCGCATTCTGGATTAGTTGCAGTTTCCGGGTCACCTTCAAAGGCAGCCCCATGGTGAGCGCATTGCAGTAGTCCAAGCAGGAGATAACCAGAGCATGCACCACTCTGGCGAGGCAGTCTGTGGGCAGGGAGGGTCTCATCCTGCGTACCAGATGCAGCTGCCCTGGACACAGAACTGACCTGTGCCTCCATAGACAGCGGTGAGTCCAAAATGACTCCCAGGCTGCGCACCTGGTCCTTCTGGGGCACAGTTACCCCAACGCATCCTTGACTGCTTTCCTTTTGGCCAGTTCATGCCAGCCCTCAGCACCCTGTGGATATCTTTGCGCTACGACTCCCACCAGCTCCCCCCCCAGGAGCGCCCAGCTGGGAGTTGTAGTTCAGAACGTCTAGAGCAGCTGCCTGAAGTGGGGCGGCGTAATGGTTAGCATGTTGGGGGAAAGGGGCCTGCGAGAGACCAGGCTTCGAATCCCCAGGAAGCTCACTGGGTGCAACCCGAGGCAGATGGGGTACAGTCGCCATCTGGCGGCCTGAACGTACCTCACAGGGTTGTTGTGCGGATAGGACAATGTCGTCCATCTTGAGCTCTCCTTGGGGGGGAAAGGTGCTATTTAAATGTAATAAAGCAACAGTGTGCCAGCCACTTCCGCCAGGGTTGGGCTGAGCTGTGGTCTTGCAGCCTGGCCTTTGACCTTTGGTTTTATATACATATATATATATATATAGAATTATATATATTATATTAATGCAAATGTGTTACGTTGTGTATGACAGGCCATGGTGGAGAACCAAGGGAAATCTGAAAGTACTGTATTTTTCGCTCTATAAGACGCACCAGACCACAAGACGCACCTAGTTTTTGGAGGAGGAAAACAAGAAAAAAAATATTCTGAATCTCAGAAGCCAGAACAGCAAGAGGGATCGCAGCAATCCCTCTTGCTGTTCTGGCTTCTGGGATAGCTGCGCAGCCTGCATTCGCCCCATAAGACGCACACACATTTCCTTTTACTTTTTAGGAGGGAAAAAGTGAGTATTATAGAGCAAAAAATATGGTAATTTGTTTTTAAAAACCGAACCCATCTTTACTATTCTTTGTTTTAAGAAAAATCAGTTCGAAAGTTTTCTTTGTCGTCGTTGTGGCAGAAACCAGCCTTTTCCTTTTCCCCGTTTGGGAAGAGATGGGAATGAAGGGAGAAGGAGGGAGAGTTTCTTAAATCATTTTCTCTGTCTCGCTCAACTCGGCTTCTCCCGGTCTTGTCCACACGCCGTCTTCCATCCCAGACGTTGTGCTGATGGTAAAAACAAAAAAATCCTTTCCCCCAACAACCCTTCTCACACACACACAAAAAGAGAAAAGAAATCCCCACGACCTTATTTGGATTCTGTATTTTTTTATAATAAAAACTTGAAAAACGACAGACGGTTTTCTGGGAGCTTTGTTTCGGAAACTGCGCCTTTGCAAAACACAGCGACAGATTTCTCTGGGTCGTCGAACCAGGGTTCAGTTCTGTGATCATCATATGGCTCTCTCCTCTTCAACTCCAGTTTTGTGGGGGTGGGAGAGAGAAATCTGATCCAGTTTGCATTAATTTGTCGTTTTTATATATATATATAAAGGTAAAGGGACCCCTGACCATTAGGTCCAGTCGTGGCCGACTCTGGGGTTGCGGCGCTCATCTCGCTTTATTGGCCGAGGGAGCCGGCGTACAGCTTCCGGGTCATGTGGCCAGCAGGACTAAGCCACTTCTGGCGAACCAGAGCAGCGCACGGAAACGCCGTTTACCTTCCCGCTGGAGCGGTACCTATTTATCTACTTGCACTTTGAAGTGCTTTCGAACTGCTAGGTTGGCAGGAGCAGGGACCAAGCAACGGGAGCTCACCCCGTCACGGGGATTCGAACCGCCGACCTTCTGATCGGCAAGTCCTAGGCTCTGTGGTTTAACCCACAGCGCCACCCACGTCCCATTACATATATATATGTGTGTGTGTGTGTGTGTGTGTGTGTGTGTTTAAAAACCAAAAAATTTTTTTGAAGTGCTTTGCAAAAGGAACAAAGAAATGTACTCATTGTTAAAACCAGATAAAAGCAACATTCCCTCCCAAGAAATAGAAAACAGAGATAAGCTAGAAGCCAGATTACGACGCAAATCGGTGTTCTACACATCTGGAGAGGCTTGCCTAAACAAAAATGTTTTTAGCAGACACACACACCAAAAAAAGGTACAGTCAAGTTGCCTGCCAGGCATCAATAGGCGTGGAGTTCCAAAGTTCAGGCGCTGCCACTCTAAAAGATTGATTTCTCACAAATGGGAGAAATCCTTAGGCGGGAGGGACTCTAAGCAGAAGAGATGCCCCAAACATTGAAGTAGGTAAAGGTAAAGGGACCCCTGACCATTAGGTCCAGTCGTGGCCGACTCTGGGGTTGCGGCGCTCATCTCGCTTTACTGGCCGAGGGAGCCGGCGTACAGCTTCCGGGTCATGTGGCCAGCAGGACTAAGCCGCTTCTGGCGAACCAGAGCAGCGCACGGAAACGCCGTTTACCTTCCCGCCGGAGCAGTACCTATTTATCTACTTGCACTTTGATGTGCTTTCGAACTGCTAGGTTGGCAGGAGCAGGGACCGAGCAACGGGAGCTCACCCCGTCATTGCAGGGATTCGAACCGCTCACCTTCTGATCGGCAATCCCTAGGCTCTGTGGTTTAACCCACAGCGCCACCCGCGTCCCTGGGCTCCGCAATGCACTCCTCTAAAAAACCGCCGGCGAGTTTTTGAGTCTCCTCTGGCCCCCAGTGCCTTCCTCTTCTCTTTGTCTTATTCTTAATGATGCTTAAGGAATTTTAATAGTCGGCTTGAAACAGCTCCAAACCTCTTGCCGGGTCTCAGGCCCCCCCAAAATGGGGGGCGACGGGGAGGAGGAAATAATAAAATGCTGCGATTAGGATTGTGCTACAGTTGGCAAGAGTTAAAGACTTGAGTTCCACAGAGCAGGCTCATCGTCTGCCAAATCCTCCCTGGTGGAATTCATTGGGTTTTATAGTTTTGGTTTTTCCCCTTTTCCTTTTTTTAAAAAAAAAGAAAACCACGGGGGAAGGCTGCCTTTTCAATCCTTCTCCGCCGCCGCCGCTACCCGCCGCTGCGGCCCCCCAAGTGCTTTTCAAAAAATATATTTTAAAAATGTTTACGTGAGCGCACACGACTCGTTTCCATCATTTGAATGTGGGGGATATGGGCCTAATTAGCAGAGCCGGAGACAATGAGCCGTTCATTAAGGTGGCATCGCGCGGCTGAGCTGGGTCTGCGAAGTTTGGCCACATCGGCTAATTTCACTTGGCTCTTTAAAGAGAAGGAGCAGAAGAATTAGAGCAGCTAGCATGCCAAGAATTGCAAGTTTGTGTGTGTGTGTGTGTGAGAGAGAGAGAGAGAGAGAGAGCGCAATAGATGGGAATAAATTCGGCTCAGTTTGCAAACTTGCACTTCCTAAAACCAGGGGCAGGAAAAATCACCCATCCCAGTTTCCCAGAGTGTTTGTTGTGGGGGAGGAAGGGAAAGGAGAATGTTAGCCGCTTTGAGACTCCTTAAAGGTAAAGGAGGGACCGAGCAGCGGGAGCTCACCCCGTCGCGGGGATTCGAACTGCCGAACTTCTGATCGGCAAGTCCTAGGCTTTGTGGTTTAACCCACAGCGCCACCTGCATCCCTTAAGCAGTGTGTAGATTCCCTATAATTGATTAATTAAATGTGAGAGAAGGGGGTGAATCATGAACCCCACCTTGAGCACCTAGCAGGAAAGGCGGGGGTGCCAATAATCAATCAATCAATCAATCAATCAATCAATGATTTAGCTCATTTTGCTGTCCCTAAAATCCTAGACTTGTGGAGCTGGAAGGATCACGCACCCCAAGTCCCTGCAATGCAGAAATCGCAGCTGAAACGAAATTGGCGTCTTAGTCTCTCCCCACCATCTGCAGGTAGGAACCCCGCAATGAAGGCAGCGGGGCAAAAATTGTGCAAAAATTCAGAATGAAAATGAGTTGCAGGGGGGTGGCTGGGGGTGACAGAACGACGGAAGCAGCCCCCTCCAGGAAACCCGAGCGGGGAATTCAGAACTCCGAAACCGACGAAGAGATGCAGGCGGGAAGAATTTTGAGAGGTTTCCCCCAGCTGACAGCAAGTTATTAAATGATAAGGCAGGGAGGGCCACGAGATCTTGGCCACCAGCCTAATTGCTGGCGGGGGGGGGGCAGAGAAAAGATCTCACAGCCTGCAGGGACAAAAATCTCGTAGCGGCAGACTCGGCTCAAGAAGGCAGAAGGGCTGTTTTGCCCCTTAAGCATTCCCTAACCTGGTGCCCACGAGCTCTTTTGGAGCTGGAACAAACTCCTGCAAGAGGTGGCCAGGCCCAAAGCAGGGCAATAAAATGACAAAAAAGGGGTTTCCGACTAAACCTTAGGTGCCACGTATTCTAGTTCCACATTCGTAAGAAATCAACCTTTTAGTGTGTCGCCAGTTGCCCTTCGGCCCCTTCATGGATCACTGCCTTGCCGTGGCGAAGGGGCCTTAATAACTCAGAGAAGCTATGAACTATGCCAAGCAGAGCACCCAAGATGGACAGGCTGGAGGAGACTCTTGAGAGTCCCATGGACTGCAAGAAGATCAAACCTCTCCATTCGGAAGGAAATCAGCCCTGAGTGCTCACTGGAAGGACAGATCCTGAAGCTGAGGCTCCAAGACTTTGGCCACCTCATGAGAAGAGAAGACTCCCTGGAAAAGACCCTGATGTTGGGAAAGATGGAAGGCGCAAGGAGAAGGGGACGACAGAGGACGAGATGGTGGGACAGTGTTCTCGAAGCTACCAGCATGAGTTTGACCAAACTGCGGGAGGAAGTGGAAGACAGGAGTGCCTGGCGTGCTCTGGTCCAGGGGGTCACGAAGAGGCGGACACGACTAAACGACTAAACAGTGACAAAGTTGCCCTTCAGAACTCCCCGCCGATTGACACCCAACAGCAAAGTTTCTCTCTACTCCATGGGTAGGCAAACTAAGATCCGGCCCAATTGCCATCTCAATCCGGCCCGTGGACGGTCCGGGAATCAGCGTGTTTTTACATGAGTACAATGTGTACTTTTATTTAAAATGCATCACTGGGTTATTTGTGGGGCATAGGAATTCGTTCATTTCCCCCCAAAAAAATATAGTCCGGCCCCCCGCAAGGTCTGAGGGACAGTGGACCGACCCCTGCAGTCGATTATTTTCAATGTCTGCTAAAAACATTTTAATTTAGGCAAGCCTGCCCAGGATACTGACATGTATTTGAATCTGGTTCTGAGCTCATCTTTGTTTTTAATTACAGTGGTACCTTGGTTCTCAAACTTAATCCGTTCCGGAAGTCTGTTCCAAAACCAAAGCGTTCCAAAACCAAGGTGCTCTTTCCCATAGAAAGGAATGAAAAACAGATTAATCCATTCCAGACTTTTAAAAACAACCCCAAAAAACAGCAATTTAACATGAACTTTACTATCTAACGAGACCAACTGTCTCCATAAAATGAAAGCAACAATCAATGTACTGTACTATAAAATAAATAAGACAGTATTGTGATAAAAATAAAAATTGTTCTTACCTGCACTGATGCTAGTCACAAAAACAAATTAACCGAAAAAGCCACATAAACAAAAACACACAATGAATAGCAAAAACAAAAGCGCCAAACTCAATCCGTTCCAGGAGTCCGTTTGACTTCTGAAATGTTCGAAAACCAAGGCGCGGCTTCTGATTGGCGCAGGCGCGCCAGAAACAATAGCCGACAGCCGTATCGGATGCTCAATTTCCCAAAAACGTTCGAAAACCTGAACACTTACTTCTGGGTTTTCGATGTTTGGGAACCAAGACATTTGAGTACCAAGCCATTTGAGAACCAAGGTAGCACTCTATTTGTAAAAATAATTTTAAAACAGCTGTCTTTAGCTGTGGGTTTCCCAATGGTTGTTTTATCGCTTGATTCCTTTTCGTAAGCTGCTCTGCGGCTTATCACGCAGGGCGTACGAAATAACTACTGTATTTTTTGCTCTATAAGACTCACTTTTCCCCTCCTAAAAAGTAAGGGGAAATGTGTGTGCGTCTTATGGAGCGAATGCAGGCTGCGCAGCTATCCCAGAAGCCAGAACAGCAAGAGGGATTGCTGCTTTCACTGCGCAGCGATCCCTCTTGCTGTTCTGGCTTCTGAGATTCAGAATATTTTTTCCTTGTTTTCCTCCTCCAAAAACTAGGTGCGTCTTGTGGTCTGGTGCGTCTTATAGAGCAAAAAATACGGTAAGTGTTTTCCTCCTTTGCTAGAACTTGTGGACATCGGGCGAAACTGGATGTTGGAAGATTCGGGATGGAGCAGCTTTCTGGCACTGGAGTGAGCGGAACTTTTTTTTAGTGAGTGTGATGGAGGGAGAGAAAAGAGATCGCAGAGAATCTGCAGCGGGAATTGACAGTGATGGTCGAGAATGGCCATCATAAAGTACCGTATTTTTTGCTCTATAAGACTCACTTTTTCCCTCCTAAAATGCAAGGGGAAATGTGTGTGCGTCTTATGGAGCGAATGCAGGCTGCGCAGCTATCCCAGAAGCCAGAACAGCAAGAGGGATTGCTGCTTTCGCTGCGCAGCGATCCCTCTTGCTGTTCTGGCTTCTGAGATTCAGAATATGTTTTTTCTTGTTTTCCTCCTCCAAAAATGAGGTGCGTCTTGTGGTCTGGTGCATCTTATAGAGCGAAAAATAGGGTAATGAAACAAATAAAATGGTTCAAGTTGCATGGGGTTGGGATAGATGACCCTACGTCCTCTTCTAACTCCACAATTCTATGAAACACAAGGAAGAGAAAGTCCTGAACGTCTAGCGGAAAGTTGTCTCTAAGGAGCCGGGATCGCCTCCCCCTCTCTTTCGTTTTCTTAATTCATTAAACGACCTATTAAAATGGCATAAAAAGCCCAATTTGTGGATGATCCTTAACCCCTGCAAAGTCAACACCTGCCAATTTTTTTTGGGGGGGGGGGTGTCCCTCTTTAAAATTTTCAACTCCTTTCCAGGTAATTCATTCCTCCTCTCTCCCCCCCTTCCCAAAGAAAATTCATCCCACCCACCCACCCCCCTTTAGGACAACAACAATGATTAAAATTTTGGGATTAGCTGTCAAAGAAAGCTGGGATTAAACTCTTTACGCAGCAGAGGGAAAGAGCTTAGCGGCCGTCACGAGAGTCGGTGGATGATGGATTGTCATACGGAAAAGCTGGGCGTCAACGGGGCCTGGCGTTCCGACATGAAAGGCGCTATTGTCTCGTCAAAGAGATGATCCGGATTGGAGCGGACATGAGAAGCTTTACAAAGCAAAATAAATACAATATACTCGCCCGTGGTGCTCCTTCGAGAACGGAGAGGAATACACAGGAAATTGCAGGAGAGGAGCCAGGAATAATAATAATAATAATAATAATAATAATAATATTACTTATACCTCGCCCATCTGGCTGGGTTTCCCCACCTACTCTGGGCGGCTCCCAACAGAATATTAAAGGTAAAGGGACCCCTGACCATTAGGTCCAGTCGTGGCCGACTCTGGGGTTGCGGCGCTCATCTCGCTTTATTGGCCGAGGGAGCCGGC